TTTAATAAAAGATATATAAGACCCTTACGGATAAAGTTATAAAACTTCTAAAATTTCTGAAATTTAAGGAAGTCTGACTGGTTCAAGGGAAGAGCATGCAACTCCTGATTTCAGGGTTGTGAGTTCGAGCCCCACACTGGGTGTAGAGATTACATAAATAAAAACTTAAAAATATAAAAAAAAATAAAATTTAATTTTGTTAATGGATAAGAATACTCAATGTTATAAAGATGTTATTTCTCTCCAAATTGTCCTACAGAGTTACTGAAGTTCTAATAGAACCCCCACCTTGGATATATGTGTGTGTACAACTTGACAAGTTTGTTCTAAAATCCATGTAGAAGAACCAAGAGTCCCAGGAACAGCCAAGACACTGCTGAAGAAGAACACAGTGGAACCTTGTCCTACCAGACTTATTACAAAACTATAGTAATTAAAACAGTAAGGCATGGATGACTAGACCAAGAAATTGAACAGAGAATTGATCCCAGGCCAAAAGGAAATGTAAAAAGGGAGATCTAGCATTTCAGATTAGTGGGGAAATATGAACTATTCAATAAATACTGTTGTGATAACTGCTTATGCATATTAATAAAAAAAGAAATTGAATACCTATCTTAATCTACTTGGAAAAATCGGTTCCTGGAGTGCCTGGATGGCTCAGTCCATCAAGTGCCTGCTTTTGGCTCGGGTCATGATCTCAGGGTCCTGGGATCAAGCCCCGCACCAGGGCTCTCTGCTTAGCAGGGAGTCTGGTTCTTTCTCACTCTCTCTCTCAAATAAATAAATAAATAAGATCTTTAAAAAAATCGATTCCTAGTGACTTAAATGTGAAAAATAAAATTATAACACTTGTTTTTTTATTTTTCAGAAAAGTTTTAAATTTTTTTCAAGATTTTATTTATTTATTTGACACAGAGAGAGAGAGATCACAAGTAGGCAGAGAGGCAGGCAGAGAGAGAGTGGAAAGCAGGCCCCCACTGAGCAGAAAGCCTGATGTGGGGCTCGATCCCAGGATCCTGAGATCATGACCTGAGCCAAAGGCAAACGCTTAACCAACTCAGCCACCCAGGTGCTCCAAATTCTAACACTTTTATATTTTTTTTTAAAGATTTTATTTATTTATTTGACAGACGGAGATCACAGGTAGACAGAGAAGCAGGCAGAGAGAGAGGAAGAAGCAGGCTCCCTGTTAATCAGAGAGCCCGATGTGGGGCTCGATCCCAGGACCCTGGGATCATGACCTGAGCCGAAGGCAGAGGCTTTAACCCACTGAGCCACCCAGGCATCCCAAATTCTAACACTTTTAGAAGAAAATATAAAATAACATCTTTTGACACTGGAGAGAGGAAAAATTTCTTAAGCAACACCTCAAAAGTGCAAAACATAAATAGGCTGATAAATTGGTAAAATTATGAACTTTCATTTATCGAAAGAGACAAGAAGACAAGAAATGAAAGATCTAGACAAACCACAAATAGAAAGAAAATACTGGTAACACATATATACCCATACCTTGGGGATATCATGGGTTCAGTGCAAATATTGTACTAATATGAATTAAATGAATTTTTTGGCTTCCCAGTGCATACACAAGTTATGTTTAAACTATACATATACATTTTTATATATATGCATATAAGCATATATACATATATATACACATTTACACATTTAGGGCACCTGGGTGGCTCAGTTGGTTAAACATCTGCGTTTGGCTCAGGTCTGATCCCCACAGCAGGCTCCCTACTCAGCAGGGAGGCTGCTTCTCCCTCTCCCTCTGCCACTCCCCCTGCTTGTGCTCTCTCTCTCTGTCAAATAAATAAATAAAATCTTAAAAAAAAATAAACTAACTAAATAAATAGACTATATGGTCATTTATTAAGTGTGTAATAGCATTATGTCTTAAAAAAGCACATATCTTAATTTAAAAATACTTTATTGCTAAAAAATGCCAGTCATCATCTGAACTTTTAATGAATCATAATCACTGATAATAGATATCCATAACAAATACAATAATAACATGAAAAATTTGAGATATTCCAAAAATTACTAAAATGTGACACAGAGACACAAAGTGAGCAAATGCTTTTGGAAAAATGGTGCCAAGAGAATTGCTTGATGAGGGTTGCCACAGACTTTCAATTTGTAAAAAACGCAGTACCTGTGAAGCACAGTAAAGTGAATAGCAATAAAATGATTGCACCTATAATAAAAAAAAACCTCCTAAAAATCAATTTTAAAAAACTTAACTAGAAAAAACGGACAAAAGACATAAATAGCCATTTCATGGGAAAAGAAACTCAGTTGGCTACGTATTAGCCTGCTTAGACTAACATAACAAGCTATCACAGACTGGGTTGCTTAAACAACAGAAATTTATTTCTCATAGTTCTGGAGGCTTGGAAGTCCAAGATGAAAGTGTCAACAAGGTAGGTTTCATTCTGAGGCTTCTCTCTTGGTTTATAGTTAGCTACCACCTCTGTGTGCTCACTTGACCTCTTCTTCGTGTGTGTAGTGAGTTAGCGGGTTTAAGGGGAGAAAGAAGGGTAGAAAGAGAAAGGGAGAGAGGAAGGAAACAAGTTTTCTGGTATTTCTTTTATAAAATCACTAATCCCATCAAGGGGGACCCATTCCCCTGACGTCATTTTACCCTAATTACCTCCCAAAGGCCTCATCTCCAAACACCATCATATTGTAAGTTAGGACTTCAACATGAATTTGTGGGGGCAGGGCACAGACACAATTTAATCTGTAGCATCTTATAAACATCTTTTTAATGCCTGATCTCATAAGTGATCAGGTAATGTAAATTATAACAAAATGAAACATTTTACACTCACCAGGTTATACAAAATTTAACCATCTAATGATATTAAGGGTTGGCACGGCTGTGGAGGAAGGGACCTCATTCACTACTGGTGGGAATGTAAATAGGTTGGAGTTTTGAAAAGAGGTATTTTCTAGTGCAATTGAAGATGTACATGCCATATATTCCAGCAGTTCGGCTCCCATGTATATACACTGGTTTTCTCTTTTTAAAGATTTTATTTATTTATTTGACAGAGATTGCAAGTAGGTGAGAGAAGCAGAGAAGAGAGAATTGCTGGGTGCAATCCAATAATAAATTGGGAAATTAATTTTAGTGGTGCTGAAGTATAATTTTCCAAAAGGTAAAATTATGGCTGTCATAAAAATATAAAATTAACACATGCCAAAAATATTATTTATATTAATTAATGAGAGCCAGTAGAATGTTTTTTTTTTTAAAGATTTTATTTATTTATTTGACAGACAGAGATGACAAGTAGGCAGAGAGGCAGGCAGAGAGAGAAGGAAGCAGGCTCCCCGCTGAGCAGAGAACCCGACGTGGGGCTCTATTCCAGGATCCTGGGATCATGACCCGAGCCGAAGGCAGAGGCTTTAACCCACTGAGCCACCCAGGCGTTCCCAGAGCCAGTAGAATGTTACAGAAATGCTGTATGAATTGCTAAGAGTCAGGAATGTTGAATTTGCTGAGAGGAAAAATGGTTTAATATGCCATAGGTTAATATAACTTAATGTTTTTATGTTCTCTTTTTCTATAGAGTGGACAAGATTTTAAATACCCATTTTCTTGCAAAATAGTTTAGTCAATAGAAAGTCAGAGGTCCCTATGGACTCAAATCCTTCCAAAGTCTGCTAGGCAATGCCCAGCCTTACAGTAAAAGCGCACCCAAATAATCGCTTTTGCTCATTTCCAAGTCTTGGGTAATAATTTTTCAGACAATGGGTCTCTTTTAGCACTTTTCGGTAATGAATCGAAAAGGAGAAATAGAAATTTAGTGAATTGCTGGCAGTAAGTATATTTTTCTGTGAAATTTTTGTTTCAGATATATACATCTATAGACGTATGTGGTATTATTGGGTTTGAAGTAGACTGTTTTTGTTCACTGTTGGCCGGGGTCAAAATGTTTGAAAATCATGAACGTGACATATTACGAGGTTCAACAGTGAAAAGAACTAGATGTTTGGAGTTCTCCCTTCCCTCAAAGTAGGCATCCATTCAAATGCCAGGCTTAGGCAAACCTAAAAAATGATCTGAGTGAATGGTAAAGAATAAAGAGATTGGAACGCCTCGGTGGCTCAGTCGGTTAAGTCCCTGTCTTCCGCTCAGGTCGTGATCCTAGGCTCCTGGAATCGAGTCCCCGCATCCGGTTACTTGCTCAGCGGGGAGCTTCTCTCTTCACCTCTGCCTGACACTCTGCCTGCTTGTGTGCGTGCACTCTCTCTCTCTCTCTCTGATAAATAAGATTTTTTTAAAATAAGATAAGGTAGAAATATCGAATCATGTTGTACACATGAAGCTAAAGTTACACGTCAAGTAACATCTCAAGTTAAAAAAAAAAAAAAAAAAAAGAATAGAAGCGCAGCGCCGGGGGTTCATCTCTGTCTTTCCTCAACACTAAAGTTCGGGGCATCTGGGTGGCTCAGTCGGTTAGGCCTCTGCCTTCCCCTCAGGTCTTGGTCTCCGGGTCCTGGAATCGAGCACACACCCCACCCCACCCCCGTGGCGGGGGGGGGGGGGTGGTTTCCTCTGCTCAGCAGGGATCCTGTTTCCCTCTCTCTATCTCTGCCTGCCTCTCTGCCTACTTGTGATCTCTCTCTCTCTGTCAAATAAATAAAATCTTAAAACAAACACTAAAGTTCGCTGGCTATCTGGGACGCCTCAAGAATGGAGAGAACGTAGGTTGAGGGGAACGGTCGAGGAGGCCAGCCCCAACAGGCAAGAGCTTGGACTCGTAGCTGTGCAGCTCGCCTGCTGCGAATCCGACACCCGGCGCGGGTCACAGCCATCCGGCTCGGGGTGTCGCCTCTACCCGCCAGCGTAAGAACACTGCGCACGCGCAACCCGACTAGTGACGGCGCCACGCTAGAGGCACTTGTCAGCAGGCCCGGCCTCACCTCCAGTCCTCCGTCGGCCATAGTACCCAGTCGCCTCAGCCCTGTCGGCCCAGCCGGGCTCCCCCCGCCCTCTCGGCGCCGGCGTTGGTAGTGACTGCGCGCGCAGGGCCTTAGCGGGCGCCGGCGGGAAGGGGAAGCGGCGGTAAGAAGGGCCTGCGTCCGGGTGCGACTGTGACGGGGTTGGGAATGACCTCTTCGCTCTTACGGCTCTTGGGAACCCTGAGGAGAGGAGAGGAGCCTCTGGAACCGCTTACTCTGGCCGCTCAGGCGTGCCTCTGATAGTCAAGTGTTTTCGCCCTCACCTTTCGCTTGGTCTGGTCTGGTCGGCTCCTGCCTCTCCTTTCCCCGCCCCCACCAGGGAATCCGAAGGCTGAGCCCCCAGCCTGTCCGATATCCCCGGACAAGTGGGAGAGGCCTTCTCCGCCATTTAGGTAGCGCCGAATGTTTATCGGCTTGTAGTGTCGCAGCAGCTTAGGGGTAACTCTCCAGGTCCCCGACTCAGACACAAAGAACCTCGGTTTCTTGACGCTTGTTTTTTCTGCCACCCTTTGCTGAAGCAGCTTCCCGCTGCTCTGAAGAGTAAAGTCAAGGCCACCAAACACAGGTCCTCTTTAATTCTTCTGGGCATCTCCACCATTTCCTGATAATCTCTCCCTTTCAAGTTTAGGTCTCTTGAGGCACGTCCCTCACGTCCATATGCAGTGTCCCGGAGTTATGCTCTTTCCTTTTGGAAACACGGTCACACATGTGCCGCCTTTTGGAATGAAGTTCTTCACTGGTAGTGGGATAGTGTCAGCAACTACTAAGAAGGACGGTAACACGTTAGGATTTCTGCTGTCTGCTACCGGAGTGGATGGATATTGACTGAACTCAGCAGGAGGCAGCATTTTAGCTCAGTGGCTGTGCTTGATGCCTTGAAGTTGGGGGCAGAGGAGGTACCTTGTAATCAAGCCGCTGGGGTCCAAAGTCTGCTGACGGGAAGAAATCTGAAACAGAAAAAAAGCCCAACAGCCATGTGATGTTTGATAATATTCTGCAGGTCAAATTTCAGTATAGAGACAAATGCCCTGTTTGCTTTTATATGCCAGTTAAATGTAGTATGTTGACATTATGTAAATGCTAATGTGAAGTTTTAGCAGCTGTCTTGGAACTTCTCAATCAGATTTCTCAATTCCTAGATAATCATGATGATTAGTTTTACTTTGATGAGTTTGACTGAATGCTATAAAATTAACCACTTTTTTCTAACATCAGCCCACACCTTTTGTCAGTCTTTTTACTAGTTCCCTTTGATGCCTAGGTTACAAAACCATAGTCATCTTGGATTTCCCTTGTGCTTCATCCCCAAATATATTGTATTACTGGATCTCATGGTTTCTTTATTTAAAAAGTAAGTTGGATTCATCCGTTCCATTTTCATTGTTGAGGCTGTATAAGGCTGTTTTCAAGGACTTTGCTACCTCTCAGTTCATTCCCTGGAAGGTTCATATAACAGTTCTGAAACATGACTGTTGTCTTGTTACTCTTGAGTCTATAATGGCTAAATTTCTGTCCTTGGGTTTCAAAGCCTTTTCTCTATAACCTGTCCTAATAATTCCTGTGCATGTGATATGGTGGGAATAGCCCAAGATTTAAAGTAATAAGACTTGGATTCCAATACTGAGACTGTCATTATACTAACACTGTGTCTTTGGGAAACTTTGAGCTTCAGTTTCCTTATTCTCTCATTTCAAATAACAATATCTTTTCTTCCCACATCTTAATTATTGTGAGGATTGCAATTGGCAGAATGTGTGGAAAAGTTATCATAGTTAGACAAAAACAACATAAGCTATTGTTATTTCTCATTGTACTCGTTCATTTCACAAATATTTGAAAAGTTAATATATGTTAGGTACCGGTGCTGCTACTATGAAAGATTGTCCCTGCCCTTAAGAGACTCTCAGGAAGATTTCAGAGAATATATGTGTCTGTAGAAAATAGGTTTGGTAGTGTCTGACAAGGTATAGTGTGATGTAGCCAAAAAATAGGTAAGTTTAAAAAAAAAAATAGGTGAGTTTAGGATGGCCACCAAATCCAGAGGAGAGAGGAACAGGGAAGGTCCTGCAGGAAATTATGTTTGAACAGAGTCTTGAATTATAATAAAGACCCAAAAGGAAAAGGTGGGGAAGGATGCCTTGAAAGAGACACTTTTAGAGAACTGCAAATTGTTAGGTTTTGTTGGAGTATTAAGTTCAAAGAAGAGTATGAGAGATAGGACTGGACAGGTAGACAGAGGTGAGATTTGAAGGGCTTTGTGTACTAAGAGAAGTGTGCCAAGTGAAGGTTTGTAAGCAGACAGTTGGCCCGATCACAGTTGGTTTTTGAAAATTCATTTTGGTTAGAGTATGTGCTTTCTTAACTACAGTGTACAAAAACTTCTGCCTTTGTGCCTTTTCTTAACCAGCTGAGCCACCGAGGTGCCCCTGTGCCTTTTCTTTCTTTATTTCACCCAGAAGGGCTTATGCCCTCTCCTCAGATGTTAATCTTTATCTTGCAACATCCAGTCAGGTCCCATTTCTACCATGAATCATTCTCCATTTATTTTAGGCCCCATTGCTTATTCCCTTCCCTGAAACCCATATTTGTTTTGTGTGTATTTTATGTCCCTAAGTAGATTTTAAGCTAAAGGATAGGGAATGTGTGTCAATAGAAGACATGTTAAAGACAAAAATATGTTTTCTGGTCTCCTATTTTGTTTTTCAGGGTAGGATCAGATTATGGGCAACAGTCCTTTTAATTAATCTGTCAACATGGCTAATGAGGACTGTCCCAAGGCTGGTAATAGTCCATTTTCATCTGATAAACATGCCCAACTCATCTTGGCCCAGATCAATAAAATGAGGAATGGAGAGCATTTCTGTGATGTGCAGCTGCAAGTTGGGAACGAGACTTTTAAAGTTCATCGGCTGGTTTTGGCTGCCAGTAGTCCTTACTTCGCAGCTTTATTCACTGGAGGAATGAAAGAGTCCTCAAAAGATGTTGTACAGATTCTAGGAATTGAAGCTGGAATCTTTCAAATACTTCTAGATTTCATTTATACAGGTATGTTACATGAGCCTAAAGTTTTGAGTGAAGAATGATATAATCACTCATGCATTGCAATGGAAATATAAATTGATACAACTTCTATGGAAAGTAATTTGACAATATGTTATTATGAGTGTTTGAAAGTTTCGTATCTTTTGACCCAGTATTCCTTTTCTAGGAAGGAATTATTCATAAGGAATTACTTAGTGATACAGGCAAATATTTATGTACCAGGATGTTTACTGTAACATTATTTATAACTACATAATTGAATACAATCTAATTATCCCTCAGTAGATTATATGATTAAATAAATTATGGCGTATGTGTGTGTCATGAAATATTTTTTTAGATCTCTCAAATTATTTAAATATATACTATGGAAGAGTGTTTACAATATTTCAAATGAAAAAAAATTGAATATAAGCACCGCACTAATTTTGTAAAGAAAAAAAATCATTTGTCTTGGTGCACAGGAAAAAGACCAGAATGTTGATAAGTGTCTATCTCTGGATGACAGAATATGGAAGATCTGTTTGTTTGTTTTTTTAAAGATTTTATTTATTTATTTGACAGAGAGAGGGAATACAAGCAGAGGGAGTGGGAGAGGGAGAGGCAGGCTTCCCACTGATCAGGGAGCCCGATGAGGGGCTGGATCCCAGGACCCTGGAATCATGACGTGAGCCAAAGGCAGATGCTTAACAACTGAGCCAACCAGGCACCCCTGGAATATGGAAAATCTTTATTTTTCCCTCTTTTTTTTTTCCCCTCAAAATATTTGTAATCAACGTGTATGTATTTTAATTAAAACTTTTATTTTTAAAATGTTTTTTAAAAGTTTTGATAATGTTAGAAAGTGCACACAAAAAAGTATGAAGTTTTATATGATATGTAATAAATATACATGGAAATAAGATTTGAAAGAAAGATACTGAAGTGTTAGTACAGTGTATGTCTGTGGGAAAATGTGTGATTTTCATTTTTATACTTTTCTGCCTTGAAGTTTTTTCCTGTGGTGAAGATAATATAATCAGAAAAAATGTTTGAAAACAAAGACTGTTTGGTCATCATGCTCTCCTTAAAGGACTACTTGTGGGAAATTATTAGGTGACTCCATAAAGTATTATTTATTTAGTGCATGGTATTTAAACCTGGAAAATGACAAAAGGAGATTTCTTTGTGTAGTTTCTTATTACATTTTGGAAAATATCAGAAAATAACTCTTAATTTGGAGATTATAAAGATGACTATGTTTTATTTACTGAAAGTCGTGCAGCCCTATCTATTGTCTAATGTACAAATTAGCATCGAAGGATTTTTTTTAACCTTTTCTGACTTGTGTGAGCTGAACACAGTTTCATAAATGTTCTGCTTCTCTTATTTACAAAGTGTAAATTAACACATATTAATCCAGTGGAATTAGTGTTGAGCTACATAAACACAGAAGAAATGCTACAAGGTGTTTATTCTGCCTCTTGTCTAAGGGTAGCAACAAGAGCTACTTAGTGAAAGATGTTCCCGGTACTGTCACCATATTGGTGATTAGCACTTCATCAAATAAATAGAAAGTAGTAAAACCCAGAGAAATAAAAGCTTTGGAGCATATCTGAGAGAATATTGACATTTAAGGTTAAAATTGGTATAACAATTAAGAACAGAATTTGGCTACTGGTAAAGGATATCAAGTGGCTTAACAAGCTAGTTTATTTCTCCACAGAAGTGAATTCATAGTAGGCATTCCAAGGATGGTATGGTGGCTTCATGATGTCCTTAATATCCTATTATTCTCCCAACATTTTGCTCTACCATCTATAGCTTGTAGGTGCTAATCTCATGATTGCTGAATTCCAGCCAGTGGAAGGAGGAAGGGAAAAAGGCAAAAGGTCCTGCTAGCTGAGTCTGTTCTCTTTTTAAGCTTTTCTGATAGCTGTACCCATTAACTGCTGTCTATATCCCATTGGCCAAACAGTAAAAAATTCAACCCTATCTGTAAATGAGGTTAAGGTACGTAATTTTCATCAGGACACAATTAGCACCCACAACAAAATCAAGGTTCTTCTTTTTTTTTTTTTCCTTAAAGATTTTATTTATGTATTTGAGAGAGAGAGAGCACAAGCAGGATAGAGGGACAGGGAGAAGCAGACTCCCAGTGGCAGGGAGCCCAATGCGGGGCTCGATCCCAGGACCCTAAGATCATGACCTAATCTGAAGGCAGATACTCAACCAACTGAGTGACCCAGGTGCCCCTATGGATACTTTTTTAAAAAATAAGCTCTATGCCCCATATGGGGATTGAACTCAGAACCCCCAGATCAAGAGTCACATGCTGTACTGACTGAGCCAGCAAGTATCGCATATGAATACTTTATGTGAGCTAAGCACTAAACATGGCAGTAAACAAGCAGGCAGTGGCTCTGCCTTCTCAGAGCTTTATAGGTAGTGCAATTTAGGTACTTACAAATCTGAAATGAGCTTGTGAGAGCCTCATTTTCCTTAGTTGTAAAGTGGGGATAAATTTTCATAATTCATGTGAAGGTTAAATGAGATAAATTTTCATAATGTAAAAGTGTTTTTTGTAATCTATAAAGCCTTGTATAGTTATAGGACATTCTTTTTATTGCTCTCAAGTAACTCTTGGCTTTATCCAGTAGCAGGCATTCAGTCTTCATAGATTACAACCCATGATCTTGTCCAAATTTGTTGTGAATTCTCATTTTATTCAGCTAAGTCTTATCTCAGTTCTCTCTGCATCCACTACCATTTACTCCCATGGTGGATTCCATTTCTTTCTTTCAGGAATCCCTGTTTGCATTCAATAAGCCATATTCTTCCTCTCACCGTAATTTCTTTGGGCATTTATTTATTTATGAATGATTTTATTTATTTATTTGACAGGGAGAGACAGCTAGAGAGGGACAGGGAGAAGCAGGCTTCCCGCTGAGCAGGGAGCCTGATGCGCACTCAGTCCCAGGACCCTGGGATCATGAACTGAGCTGAAGGGAGACGCCCAATGACTGAGCCACCCACGTGTCCCTGGGCATTCATTTATTTAAAACAAATTTTTTTTTAAGATTTTTTATTTATTTGTTTGACAGAGATTACAAGTAGGCAGAGAGGTAGGCAGAGAGAGAGAGAAGGGGAAGTAGGCTCCCTGCTGAGCAGAGAGCCCGATGTGGGGCTCAATCCCAGGACCCTGGGATCATGACCTGAGCCAAAGGCAGAGGCTTTAAACCACTGAGCCACTCAGGTGCCCCTATTTAAACAAATTTTTGAGTACCTAGTGGGCAGTAGGCATTGAGAATATAAAAGGGAAAGCCTTCCCCCAACAGACTTTATAAATCTTGTTGGAGATACAAACTTCAGCCAAATAATTTAGTGGAGTGAATATCCTAAAAGGGATTAAGGGAAATATAAGATTGAATGGAGAGTTTATCCTTATCAGGTAGGAGAATTACAGGGTTTTTCTTCCATTCTAAATATAATTAACTATTTAGTGTTCTCGCAAAGTCATATATGTTAATATAAAAGTAAAGATATCTAGAAAGAAAGTGGTGTACGTAGTTACTTAAATGTTAAGTATTTAAGGAGCGCCTGGGTGGCTCAGTGGATTAAAGCCTCTGCCTTCGGCTCTGGTCATGGTCCCAGGGTCATGGAATCGAGCCCCATGTCGGCTCTCTGCTCAGCAGGGAGCCTGCTTCCTTCCTCTCTCTCTCTCTCTCTCTCTCTGCCTGCCTCTCTGCCTACTTGTGATCTCTCTCTGTCAAATAAATAAATAAAATCTTAAAAAAAAAGTATTTAATAATGTCTCATATGTCATGAACTCTTGGCTATACCTAGCATTAAAGAATAATGTTTGTATGGCACTTCATCAAATTGAAGTGTCTTATTCACCCCAGTGCCTCAGTAAATGTTAGATGCATATAACCTTATGTTAAAAGCATGGACTTTGATGTCAGTCTCTACCCTCAATCACTTGACCATGTGACTTTGAGACAAGTTATTTAAATTTAAACTTTCTGATTCTTGAGGGCACTTGGGTGGCTCGGTTGGTTAAGCGTTTGTCTCTTGATTTCAGCTTGGGTCTTGATCTCAGGATCTTGAGTTCAAGACCCACATTGGGCTCCATGTTGGGTGTGGAGCCTACTTAAAAAACATTTTTTTTAAAGATTTTATTTATTTATTTGGCAGACAGAAATTACAAGTGGGCAGAGAGGCAGGCAGAGAGAGAGGAGGAAGCAGGCTCCCTGCTGAGCAGAGAGCCGGACGCAGGGCTCGATGCCAGGACCCCAGGATTATGACCTGGGCAGAGGCTTTAACCCACTGAGCCACCCAGGTGCCCCTAAAAAACATTTTTTAAATGCATAATAAAGTAAATAAACTTTCTATTTCTGTTTAATTGATAGAAAAAGGAAAAATAATAACACGTATTATATGGGTTGTAGTGACAGTTAAATAAATGTATGAAACAGTTAATGTTTCTGTCCATTATAAGTGTTCCATAAATGTTAGGTATCATCATTTAAGTTCTGTGCTCTTTCTACAAATCCTTTGTTGCCTTTTTACTTAGGATCTATCTACTCACCAAATACTAAGCTTTATCAGTGGAATTAAATATAATGCTTTTTAAATATAAGTCAAATGTTTGTTTTTACTTTGTTGGTTATTTTGTCTCCCTACTTCCCTAGGTATAGTGAACATAGGTGTGAATAATGTCCAGGAGCTGATTGTTGCAGCAGACATGCTACAGTTGACTGAAGTTGTTAATCTGTGCTGTGAATTTCTAAAAGGACAAGTTGATCCATTGAACTGCATTGGAATCTTTCAGTTCTCTGAGCAAATTGCCTGCCATGATCTTTTGGAATTCACAGAAAACTACATTCATGTCCATTTCTTGGAGGTTCACAGTGGGGAGGAGTTCCTAGCGCTTACAAAAGATCAACTGATCAAAATTTTGCGAAGCGAAGAGCTCAGTATCGAGGATGAATACCAGGTCTTCTTAGCTGCTATGCAATGGATTCTGAAGGACCTGGGAAAAAGAAGAAAACATGTGGTGGAAGTGCTAGAACCAATTCGATTCCCTTTATTACCTCCTCAGAGGCTTTTAAAGTATATAGAAGGTAAATTTTTTTTGCATATCAAATGCGTGAATATCCAGTGGCTTTCTCTCTATTTGAAATGTGATAATGTTTTCGTTTTTCAGTTCAATAATGGACATTTATTGAATTATTACTATATGTGAGATACAACTTTTGGGTTTTGCAGATAGTAGTATTTCAGTATTTCTACCCATTATTTTAATCAAATTCTGACATACCTTTCTTGAGTTTAAATACTAAGGGAGATTAGAATTATAGATAAAATTATTGACAGGCCTAAAATACCACTGCTGTTTTTGGTAGTACTGATTATTTCAGTGTAAGATTTCTTCTTATTCCTCTAAAAATTATAACAAAACCTGACACATGAGGAAAATTCATATGCTAAAAACAAAAACCAAACTCAATAAATTCTGTGCATCTTCTCATTATAAACTTAATTTTATATTGATATAATATCATAGCTTCTTTCTTTTTTTCCCAAAGATTTTATTTATTTATTTGACAGAGATTACAAGTAGGCAGAGAGGCAGGCAGAGAGAGAGGGGGAAGCAGGCTCTCCGCTGAGCAGAGAGCCTGATGTGGGTGGGGCTTGATCCCAGAACCCTGAGATCATGACCTGAGCAGAACGCAGAGGCTTTAACCCACTGAGCCACCCAGGTGCCCCAATATCATAGCTTCTAAGTAGCCTTTGAATTGTCTTTAGGTACTAAACTCTGAAAATACTTTTCATCATAGTATGAATAGTGTTAATTTTTCTACTAGAAAAATTATATATACATATATAGATATATTAATTATTATTAATTAATTGATTAAGATTTTATTTTTAAGCACTCTCTATACCCATTGTGGGGCTTGAACCCACAACCCCAAGATCAAGAGTCATATGCCCTACTGACTGAGCCAGCCAGGCACCACAGATTTAAATGTATTTTTACAAACTACCTTAGACCTGGTTTCAAGATTTGAAGCTCTTGCTCTTGTCATGCACTGAAACTTTAGGAAGTTACAAATGATCTTCATATCAATTAAATACACTATTAGCATTAAAGGTATAATTCTGTGAAGGAATTATATTTAATGTGGGTTTTTCGTTTTTTTCTACTCTTAACAGTATATAATAGAATTTGATGGGTTTTTCTGAGTGATATCTTTTTTTTCTCCGAGTGATGTCTTTTTTTTCTTTTCTGAGTGATGTCTTTTTATTAATGCATATATATTACTCAATCAATTTTTATTGTTCACAGTAGTTATGTTCTATAAAGTTGCCACAAACACTGCATTGGCAAATACTGAGACATTGTTCCTAAGGGAAATACTTATGTAGATCACAGTATTTTTGCCACCTGATCAATACATAACATTGTTTTATGTGTGTTTCTATCAAAAACACCTTATTTAATATATATACTTAATATATATATATACTCATAACTTTGAACTCCTAGCCAATAGCACTATAACCCGTGCCTGAATGAAACCTAATACATGCATTTACTCCATAAAGCGCATCACAGGCTTCTTGCAATCGGGAACACTAGATAGTACTTCAACAGTATGGGTGGGGTCATTTTCAACCATATCACCAAGAAAAAGCCCAAAAATGTGAAAACCACAGCACTAAAGAGACTGTGAAAAGGACACTTATTTATAATATGAGAGCTGAAATATGAGGCAAAGTGTCATCTTGTTTAGTTCCTACCTAGAAATATGCATGTCAGGTGATTCAAATTTTTTTCTACTCTGCAGCATGTCTATGAATGACTAGGAAAGCACCATGAGTGTTAATTTGGGTTACAAATGCATTTTAATGAGTAGCTGTATTCATAAATAAGGAATGCACAAACAATGAAGACTGATTTAATTAAATTATTTATTTATTTTTAGATTTTTATTTGTTTATTTGACAGACAGAGATCACAAGTAGGCAGAGAGGCAGAGGTGGAGGTGGGGGAAGCAGGCTCCCCATTGAACAGAGAGCCTGATGCGTCTCAATCCCAGGAATCTGAACTCAGAACCAGACCCAAAGGCAGAGGCTTTTTTTTTTTTTTAAGATTTTATTAATTTGACAGAGAGACATCACAAGTAGGCAGAGAGAGAAGGGAAGCAGCCTCCCTGCTGAGCAGAAAGCCTAATGAAGGGCTCAATCCCAGGACCCTGAGATCATGACCTAAGCCAGAGGCAGAGGCTTAACCCACTGGGCCACACAGGTGCCCCAAGACTGACTATATTTAAATGCTAAAATAAGAAGAGAGAAATTATCCAAATACATTTTTGGTTGAATCATATGAGAATTTAGGAGTGGGACAAAAGCTTTCATGGTTGAGTTGTCTTTTCCCAAGTTCTGTAGATACAGTGTTATAGGAAAGTTCCTTTGCTAGGAGCAAGGGAAAGTTACCTAGAATTGGGGCTTCTTTTCCTATAGCTTTTTAGTCTTATAATATTCAAATCTTGTACTGCTTTATTAAGCATGCCCAATAGTTGTCAGCTAAAGGTATTTCTTGGAGTAAAGCTGCAAGGAGTCAGAGAGATGGAAATGGAGGATTTTTTTAAAAGATTTTAAAATATTTCAACTTTGAAACTTTTTCTTTTTGATCATATTAGAGAAAAAGCTGGCGATTTATGTAGAAAAATGATGAGACTCTACTACAAAATTCAGAGAGCAAAAGACTTAATAGAAATGGTTAAATTGGGGCTCCTGGGTGGCTCAGTCGTTAAGTTTCTGCCTTCAGCCCAGGTCATGGTCCCAGGATCCTGGGATCAAGCCCTGCATCGGGCTCCCTGCTTGGCGGGAAGCCTGCTTCTCCCTCTCCCTCTGTCTGCTGCTCCCCCTGCTTGTGTTCTCTCACTGTCAAATAAATTAAATCTTAAAAAAAAAAAAAAAAAAGAGGGCACCTGGGTGGCTTAGTGGGTTAAGCCTCTGCCTTCGGCTCAGGTCATGGTCTCAGGGTCCTGGGATCAAGCCCCACATCAAACTCTGCTCAGCAAGGAGCCTGATTCCCCCTCCCCCTCTGCCTGCTTCTCTGTGTACTTGTGTGATCTCTCTTTCTCTGTGTCAAATAAATAAATAAAATCTTTAAAAAAAAAAAAAAGAAAGAAATGGTTAAATTATGTTATGTGAAATATGTAGATTTCCCCCCTGGTGTATGTTTTTCGTATTTATCACTGGAATAATTGAGGCAACTCAATAGTACTAACTAAATGATAACATCTCTTTCTTGCCATTTTAGAGAATGACTACTTTCTAAAAATTGTATATCCTCTTATAAATGTTTAGGTAATAAAGTGTAATAAAACAACAAATTCCCCCAAAGTCCACTACCCAGAAATAACCAGTTATAATTAACATTATTAAACATCATTCTAGGTATCTATATAGGAGGATGGATGATGGGTGGATGTATGGTTGGATGGATAAACAGAAAAAAATGTAAGAATCATTCTGTACATACTATTTATAATACAAAAAGTGTGCTTAACTCTCATTAAAAATTAATGAAGAAACTGAAGTAGCAACTAATTTCTGAAGAATGTTTCTTTATCTCAAGAAACATTCATTTTAAAAAGTTCTTATCGAGTTCAGGACAAAAGATGAAAATCATTAAAAGATGAAATAAAAGTTTCATTTGTGTTTCAGTTTTATTTTTATTTATTTATTATTTTTAATTTTAATTCCAGTATATTTAAACATATAGTGTTTTGTGTTTAAATTTTTAACAGTATAGGGACGCCTGGGTGGCTCAGTCATCAAGCGCCTGCCTTGGGCTCAGGTCATGATCCCAGGATCCTGGGATCAAGCCCCCCTTCAGGCTCTCTGCTCAGCAGGAAGCCTGCTTCTCCCTCTCCCACTTCCCCTGCTTGTGTCTCTCTCTCTGTCAAATAGATAATTTTTTTTAATTAAATTTTAAACAGTATAGACTCATTAAGAAAAATAAGGTAATTAGCATTGTTAGTTTTCTTCCTATGCCACCATTCAAGGTTTATACCTTTATTTATTTATTTTTAAAGATTTTATTTATTTGACAGAGAAGAGACACAGCAAGAGAGGGAACACAAGCAGGGGGAGTAGGAGAGGGAGAAGCAGGCTCCCCAGTGAGCAGGGAACCCAATGCAGGGCTGGAGCCCAATGCAGGACTCAATTCCAGGACCCCGGGATCATGACCTGAGCTGAAGGCAGATGCTTAACGACTGAGCTACCCAGGTGCTCCAAGGTTTATACCTTTATATAGATTTTTTTTTTCAATCATGATTTCCTTAGCTCTGTGCTTTTGTTCTGTATTTAAATGAATTTGATGCTGTCTACCAGTTTTTCAGTCTTTTTATTCCCAAATTTTCTTTTTTGACTTGTCTTTTGGTTGGCTGGATTTCATCATCAAGTACTTTTTTTTTTTTTTTAAAGATTTTATTTATTTATTTGACAGACAGAGATCACAAGCAGGCAGAGCAGCAGGCAGAGAGTGGGAGGAAGCAGGCTCCCCGCTGAGCAGAGAGCCCGATGTGGGGCTCGATCCCAGGACTCTGAGACCATGACCCGAGCTGAAGGCAGAGGCTTAACCCACTGAGCCACCCAGGCGCCCCATCAAGTACTTTTTTAAAGAAAAGTTCATGATTACTGTATTTCCTAAATTTTTTCATATTGAAAATTTCTGCCTGTTGATTTTTAAGTTAACAGCAATTTGGATGGGCATAATAATTTTTTTTTTAAGATTTTAAAAATTTGGGTGGCTCTGTCAAGTAAGCATGTGCCTTTAGCTCAAGTCGTGATCCCAGGGTCCTGGAATTGAGCTCTGCATTGGGCTCCAGCCCTGCATTGGGTTCCCTGCTCACTGGGGAGCCTGCTTCTCCCTCTACCTCTGACACTCACCCTTCTTGTGCTCTCTCTGTCAAATAAAAAATAGTAACATCTTGGGGGAAAAAAAAGTAATCTCTACACCCAACATGAGTCTCAAACTTAACAAACCAGAGATCAAGAGTTTATGCTCTATCAAATGAACCAGTCAGACACTCCATGGATGGGCATAATATTTTTTTTAAGTTTATTTATTTATTTATTTGACAGAGAGAGACAGAGCAAGAGAGGGAACACAAGCAGGGGGAGAGGGAGAAGGAGAAGCAGGCTTCCTGCTGAGCAAGGAGCCCGATGTGGGGCTCCATCCCAGCACCGTGGGATCATGACCTGAGCTGAAGGCAGATGCTTAACAACTGAACCACCCAGGCACCCCATCTTTTTTTTTTTTCTTAAGATTTTTATTTATTTATTTGAGAGAGAGAGAAAAAACAAGCATGTGCATGTGCCTACTAGCAGGGGGAGGGGCAGAAGGAGAAAGAGGATCACAAACAATCCTCACTTGTCGAGGAGCCCAACTCAATGCTCAGTCTCACAACCCACGGAATCATGACCTGAGCTAAAATCAGGAGTCCAAGGCTTAAATGACTGAGTCACCCACTTGCCACCATTTCTCACAGTATAGAAAGTAGGTTTCACTATTGGTCATTTCCATTTTACAGATAAAGAAACTGAAGTCCGAGAGATTATGTAGTTTGACCCTATCACATATTTAGTAAATGCTAAGGCCTGAACTTGAACCCAGATTTCTCTCATTCTGCAGCTTAACCTGATACTCCTTAACCCTCCACCTCCAGCCCTCCCACCTGCACCCTTTCATTGGCATTAAGAAACACGAATGTGGGCATTACCTATAGGTGTTGTTTCAGCAGAAGTGTCATAGTTTCAGCTTTAAATCATAACAATTGGAATCTCTCTGACTCTTCTACCAGAGAGATACAGCAGCTTGGTGAAAACCATCAACCCTCACTTTGGCCAGCTAGGTGCTGGACACCTGTGCATATAAAGAGAAGACCCAAGAAAGAAGAGATGAATCTCATACACCCTACGCGGGGCTGGATTTCATGAGCCTGAAATCATGACCTAAGCTGAAATCCAGAGTCAATTGCTTAATTAACTGAGCCACCTAGGTGCCCTGGGCATAATATTCTTTTTTTTCTTAAGATTTATTTATTTAGGGATGCCTGGGTGGTTCAGTTGGTTAAGTGCCTTCATCTCAGGTCATGATCCTGGGTCCTGGGATTGAGCCCCTCGTCTGGCTCCCTGCTCAGCGGGGAACCTGCTTCTCCCTCCCCCTGCTGTTGTGCTCTCATTTGCGTTCTCTCTATCTCCCTCTCAAATAAATAAAATCTAAAAAAAAAAAAAGTATTTATTTACTGAGAGAGAGTGCACACACATGCATGCACTCAAGTAGCGGGGCGGTGGGAGGGGCCCAAGCAGAGGAAGAGGAGAGAGGATCTCAAGCTGACTCCCTGCTGAGCTTGGAGCCGAACACGGGACTTGATCCCAAGACCCTGATATCACGACCTGAACTGAAATCAAGAGTCAGACGCTTTACTGACTGAGCCACCCAGGAGCTCCGGTCTTCATCATTTTATTGGAACTTCATTGTTTCTCATATTTATCATCCTCTAATGTTAAAATATTTTCCTTTGCTCTGTATTCACAGCTGTTTTCTCAAGTCTTTAAATTGATGGTTTGATTTTTCATCATGTCTATTGTGTTTCTTGTTTCTAATTTATTAAGTCTGTAATACTGTCATTTCAAGTTCTCACTTTGTTTCCTTAGCAAAGCATCTAATTCTGCCTTTGAGTTTTTTTGGTTTTGGGTTTTTTTTTTTTTAAGATTTTATTTATTTGACAGACAGAGATCACAAGTAGGCAGAGAGGCAGGCAGAGAGAGAGAGAGAGAGGAGGAAGCAGGCTCCCCACTGAGCAGAGAGCCCGGTGCGGGACTCAATCCCAGGACCCTGGGATCATGACCTGAGCTGAAGGCAGAGGCTTTAAGCCACTGAACCACCCAGGAACCCCCCTTTGAGTTTTTTTTTAAATAGGATCTCCATATGTTTTTTTTTTTTTTTCAATTTTTATTTTAAATAGGCTCAACGTCCAGAGTGGGGCTTAAACTCATAATCCCGAGGTTGAGAGTCACATGCTGTACCACCTGAGCCAGTCAGGCACCCCAGATCTGTATTTTTAAGTAATTCTAAATAATTAATTCTAAGTAATTGATTAAGTAATTCTAAAATTTTAAGTAATTCTTCACATGCTGTGAAGCATGTATGGGAAGTCTGTTTGTGTTTGTGGCTAATGTTTTATTCCAGAATGAATTATTTCTCCTCTTTTTCCTGGGCTTTATTTTAATATACTTATTGGTATATTGCTCATGTATAACATGGGCTACTCTCTTCAAACCAGTTTACTCTGATAATGGAAGAGCTAATTCTCCTTGACACCCTTTCTACCTTAGTGTAACTTCCAGCTAGAATTTAAGGACTGTGTTGTGTTCTTGCCACTTCTTTCTAGACTGAGGTATGAAGGTGGTGGAAGAACAGAGATCTGCTAAGGCTTAGATATTTGCTTAGGGACCTGGACTCTGAGCTCTCCCTAAGATCCTATTATTGATTTTGTGTCAGGGCTTACTTAACCCAGCTAAGGATATGTCTCATTAGTGTGGACATCTAACTGTGCCCTGTTAGATAGCAAGCCATGGTGATTCTGTCTTTACCTCGATGGTCCTGTAAAGGATTTCCTGTAATGGTTTTTCCTTTGACTTCTCAGTTCTGCTTCTTACCTGCTCCTTCTACCTTTCTAAATTCTTAGTCATTAGTGAGAATTCTCAAGATTTGGTTAATTGACCTTTTTTCCTCAATATTGCTTCTGGGATATGGGAACAAAGCTTGGAGACAGTTCCTTGCAAGCATGTATGGTGCTTTTGTGTCAATTAGAAAATAGTCCCTCTCAAGGGGCCAGGTCTTATGGATTGGCAAGTGGGACATAGGTTGACTTTCATCCCCACTTCACCTCAGCTAAGCATCCTTGAGCAGGAAGAGTCTACCCAATTATGCTCAAAGTCTCTTTGGGAGATGGACCTCATCCCACTGGAATCTTTTGTTTCTTGATTTGACTATCATTTTTTAAATTATGTGACATAATTTTATATCTTTCTGTTATTAAGCCGTTAAGTATAGAATATGGGGCTATTTTATTTTTCCGTTTTGTTGGATAATCATGATCCTGTTTTACCTTGCCATCTTTGTTTAGAAATCCTCACACATGTGTTTTTAAATTAGGTATTATGAAGCATATTGTTAAAAACCATCTTTGATTTAAGGAAAGTTTATTCTTTAGTAACAATGAGAAAAATAATATTTGGTATTGTGGGAAACAATCACCATTGCTTGATGATGAGTTTTTATATTTTTTGATAAATATATTCTATCTTTATGGGAACATGTCTTTTCAATATTTATTTAAAAGTTGATTAAAACAGTATCTTGTCTAACTTGCTTTAGGAGTATCTGATTTTAATCTTCGTGTTGCGTTGCAAACACTTTTGAAAGAGTACTGTGAGGTGTGCAAATCTCCCAAAGAAAACAAGTTTTGTAGTTTTCTGCAGACATCCAAGGTTCGGCCTCGGAAGAAAGCAAGAAAGTACCTGTATGCAGTAGGTGAGAATCTTTTAAAAGGTGACGCAAATAATCTTTATTTTTAGGATTAAAACCTTTAATATTTTGTTATTATTTTACACATCAGAATATGCAAGTGTGTCAAATAGGCATATTTAATTTCACATATAGGCTAAAAATTAATTGTGTTTTATACAGTGGATACATCTAAGAATAAATAGCTATTTATTTGACATCTATTATTCTGTGATCCAAATTGTTGGGTTCTTAGATTGCCCAATTATTGTCAAATAACTTACGAAATACTGCTTTAAAAGTTAAAAATGTGAATTCTAGTGAAAAATAGGGAAAATCTCAACATTTTTAACTATTCATGGCAGCTTAGATGATTAGGGGTAATAGGAACCAGTGGTCGCTAAAGTGTGGGTGGATAGGATAATCCACAGAAGTATCAGGAGAACATATTAAAACATCTTTTTTATTTTAAAAAGCAGTAAGTCTCATTAATATGTGAAGTATATATAGACAGATTATCCAAATTTATATGCATATTTTCATATATTCATAACATAATTTATCATCTGTATATAATTATATGTATAAGTTTATGTATGCTATAATATATAAATATGTAATTTTTTAGTGCATGCTACAGTTTTTTTACTGATATTATGTGCTGTTCAACTCACTATTTTTAATTGAAAAATATACTAATAGAAGTCATAAAGAGACTTCCTAACTAGACAGATAACCAGCTCCTTTTATGTTTTATCTAACATTTTATGACCAAAACCAGGTGGTAGAATGCTGGTTGACATCACTGCATTTAAGCCATCATCTTTCAGGACTTGGGGCATATAAGAATATTTGTATACATGGCAGGCTCTAAAGTACTTTTTCTTTGCTATAAAATAATTATGGGTTAAATGTCTAGATGTAGAGGGCTAGATTTTTCTCATTACTTTCATTTACATATTTAGCAGTAAGTGATTCGCTGTTTATCTCCTTTCCTTCATTCAGGCGGGTATACTCGGTTGCAGGGGGGTCGTTGGAGTGATAGCAGAGCCCTCAGCTGTGTAGAGCGTTTTGACACCTTTAGCCAGTACTGGACCACTGTGTCTTCACTTCATCAGGCTCGATGCGGGCTAGGAGTAGCAGTTCTGGGAGGGATGGTTTACGCTATTGGAGGTAATAATGAAATGTCTTTTTTCTCTCATTAGTCACTAGCTGTAAATTGGCTGCATTCTTATATGACTTATATATATTTCTAGGTGCTATGGGGTATGCATATATATGGTTGTCCTCAATAAATATTTAATGAATAAATTAATGAAACGAAGAAAAAGGAAACAGAAGATAATGAATGTTTCAGACCAGGGGGATACTATGATTTATCCCAAGGCAGAATATTTAGGTTTGGTTTCATTGAAAAGTTGTTTATAAAATGTGGAACCAAAATTTAGGTCAATGTTTGTGATAAAAATTATTTTAATTTTGAAATTTAATTTCACATACTAGAAGTTGTATTACAAATAATTTTTAATTAACATTGTTACCTGGACAGTGAGATCTATAAAAACTAAGTCAGCTAGACTTTGGGATATGTTTCTTGATTGAAATCACTGTGTTTTATGAAACTATTATTATGAATTATAAAATGATTAATAAAATTAAATAAAAGGAGTTTTGGATGTTGGAGGGAACTAAATATCAGAGGAGGATCTAAAGAGAAATAAATGCTAACACTTTTTTTTTTTAAAGATTTTATTTATTTACTTGACAGAGATCACAAGTAGGCAGAGAGGCAGGCAGAGAGAGAGAGGAGGAAGCAGGCTCCCTGCGGAGCAGAGAGCCCAATGTGGGGTTTGATGTGGGCTCGATGTGGGGCTCGATCCCAGGACCCTGGGATCATGACATGAGCCGAAGGCAGAGGCTTTTAACCCACTGAGCCACCCAGATGCCCCCACTTTTTTTTTTTTAAGATTTTATTTATTTATTTGACAGAGAGAGAGAGAGATCACAAGTAGGCAGAGAGGCAGGCAGAGAGAGAGAGAGGGGGAAGAAGGCTCCCTGCTGAGCACAGAGCCTGATGTGGGGCTCGATCCCAGGACCCTGAGACCATGACCTGGGCCAAAGGCAGAGGCTTAACCCACTGAGCCACCCAGGCACCCCGGCGGTAACACTTTTATATCAGTATTTACTTCTGGATAATTTGTGTTTGTAGCAACAAGCCTAGATAGGTCATCTCTAACCCTTACAACTAATCTTTATGCCTTATTTCTATGGGTTAGTCTAAAACACAAGAAGTTATATATCAAAAATATTTTTTTTTAATATTTATTATTTGAGAGAGAGAGAACTAGCAGGTGGGACGGGGGGAGCAGAAGGATAGGGAGAATCTTAGGCAGACTCAGTGCTGAGCCCAGGGTAGGGCATGATCTCACTACCCTGAGATCACCAACCTGAGCTGAAACCAAATTTGGTCCCTTAACCGGCTGAGCTACCCAGATACCTCTTGAAAATGTTATTATTATTTTTCAACTATGATACTATCAGTTTAAAATGAGAGAGAGAGATGGAGAATATTTGGTTTTTATTTCTCTTTTGGAGAGAACATAATTGTTGCTAAAAATTAAAATTAAAGTTCATTAAGAGGCAGCTGAGTGGCTCAGATGGTTAAGCAGCCAACTCTTGATTTTGGCTTAGGTCATGATCTCACGGTTGTGAGGTTGAGTCCCACATTGGTCTCTGCTCAGTGCAGAGTCTACCTGTCCCTCTCCCTCTACCTCTTTATTAAATCAATAAATGCCCTGTTGAATCTAAAAGTCCCAACAAAGAAATGAGAGTTTAAGCAAAAACTTTGTCAGCATAAAGACCATAATTCTATATAATCTTTGACTAGAACACTAATAGCTCTTTTTATATACATTTTGGCAGTTATGGATAGTTTCAATGCATGAATGCTCCTGTTTAACATAGGGTCACAGTGTCCTGTGTGACACTTTCATATATATTTGTCCCCTTTCCTGATGCCACAGAAATACTTAGGAGCACCCTTCAAAAATGCTATGACTTGGGGGCACCTGGGTGGCTCAGTGGGTTAAAGCCTCTGTCTTCGGCTCGGGTCATGATCCTAAGGTCCTGGAATTGATCTCCATGTCGGGCTCTCTGCTCAGCAGGGAGCCTGCTTCCTCCTCTCTCTCTGCCTGCCTCTCTGCCTGTTCGTGATCTCTGCCTGTCAAAGAAATAAATAAAATCTTTAAAAAAAAAAATGCTATGACTTCACTAACTTTTATTTATTTATTTATTATTCTAAATAGGCTCCACATTCAATGTATGGCTTAAATTCATGACTGAGGTTCAGGGCCATATGCTCTGTCAACTGAGTCAGCTAGGTGCCCCAACTCGGCCTACTATTATTAATACTATCAACATTGCTATCCTAAGATATTTTATAATGTATAATGTTAAGACGATTTTTATTATCAAAGTAATTCAGGTTTGTGATAGAAAATTTTGCTGAAATTGAAGCATATAAAAAAGTAATAATCACCCATACTCCGATCATATCGCCCAGAGATAATCACAATACTTGGTTTATTTCCTTCTACATACATACATATCTGGGTTAATATTCTAAATACTATTTTTGAAAATTAAGATATAATTCACATACCATAAAATTCACCATTTGAAGTATATGGTTCAGTGATTTTTAGCATATTTACAAAATCGTACAACTATTACCACTGTTTAATTCCAGAACATTTTTATTACTGCCAAAAGCCACTCTTATTATTTAGAGAAATTTTTATATCAGTGTAGGGAATTGTTTGCGAGCTCTGTTCCTAGACTCCAGCCAAGGGTCAATCTTGCAAGCAGGCCTTTCTAAGGTTAGGAATTCTCAGACCTGCTGTGCTGATTCTTTTCTGCACCGTAGTTTTATATGTTCAGGATTCTAGGCCCTCATAAAATTATATGTGCCACAAATACTTTTTGCAACTCTGCTGCTTCATCTTTCACTCTCTTTATGGTATTTTTTTTAAAGATTTTATTTATTTATTTGGAGAGAGAGATAGTGAGAGAGGGAACACAAGCAGGGGGAGTGGGAGAGGGAGAAGAAGGCTTCCCTCCGCTGAGCAGGGAGCCTAATCCGGGGCTTGATCCCAGGACCCCAGGATCATGACCTGAGCTTAAGGCCGAGGCTTAAGGACTGAGCCACCCAGGTGCTCCCTTTTCTTTTCTTTTTTTTTTTTTTAAGAAGTATCTTTTTCCTTTATTATATCTTTTGATAAACATATTTTTCATTTTAATGGGGCTAACTCTGTTATTTATTTTCCCTTTATGGTTTCTTGTATCTTTTTAAAGAAATCCTTCTCGGGACGCCTGGGTGGCTCAGTTGGTTAAGCAGCTGCCTTCGGCTCGGGTCATGATCCCGGCGTCCTGGGATCAAGTCCCACATCGGGCTCCTTGCTCGTCAGGGAACCTGCTTCTCCTCTGCCTGCCATTCTGTCTGCCTGTGCTCGCTCTCTCTCTCTCTCTCTCTCTGACAAATAAATAAAATCTTTAAAAAAAAAAGGAAATCCTTCTCTACTACAAAGTCATGATGATATATACCTTTATTGTTCTCTAAAATTTTAGTTTTAGAACTAAATGTAGGTCTGTAATCTGCCTGGAATTGAGATAATAGGAGTAGGGAACCAGTTTCATCTTTTCCTTGTATATGTAACCAATTATCTCAGCATAAAAAGCTTTTATTTGCCTATTGCTGTGCAGAGCAAACTTCGTCATATATCAGGTAATCATATATGTGGGTATCTGTTTCTAGAATTTCTTTTCTGTTTTGGTCTCTCTGTGTATTGCTATCTTAATTACTATAGCTATTTTGTTTGTTTTTTATTCATTTGAGAGAGAGACAGAGACAGAAAGAGGGAGAGGCAAAGGGAGAGGGAGAAGCAGACTCCCTGCTGAGGTGGGAGCCCGATGTGAGGCTCTATCCCAGGACCTGGAGATCATGACCTGAGCTGAAGGAGACTCTAAACCATCTGAGCCACCCAGGCACCCCACTATAGCTCTGTTTTAATTCTGATAAGCTTATCTGATAGGATAGTTTCTTCCCTTACTATTACTATTGTGTGAGAGTGCTTGGCTATTCTGGGTCCTATGTACTTCCATATAAATTTTAGAGCCAGTTCATCAAATCTGTTTTCTTCTGTCAAATCTGTTTTTAAAAATAATGTGTGATGATGGACTACTACTCAGCCATAAAAAAATGAAATCTTGCTGTTCGCAATGATGTGGATGGAACCCAGAGAGTATTATGCTAAGTGAAATCAGTCAATCAGAGAAAGACAATTATCATATGATCTCATTCATATGTGGAATTTAGGAAACAAAACAGAGGGTCATAGGGGAAGAGAGGAAAAAATAAAACAAGATGAAATCAGAGAGGGAGACAAACCATAAGAGACTTTTAAGCATAGGAAACAAACTGAGGGTTGCTGGAAGGGAGAGGGGTGAGGTGTTAGGGTAACTGGACATTAAGGGGGGCATTTGATATAATGAGCACTGGGTATTATATAAGACTGACAAATCACTGACCTCTACCTCTAAAACCAATAATATATGTTAATTGAATTTAAATTAAAAAATGTTAGTTGGAAAAAATAAATAACAATAAAGTATGATTTCACTTATATGAGGTACATTAATCAAAATCATAAAAGACAGAAAGTATAGTGGTGGCTGTCTGGGACTGGTGAGGGGAGAACGGGGAGTTATCGTTTGAATCAGTATAGTATTGCAGTTTTATAAGATGTAGAGAATTTGGGGAGTGGATAGTGGCATGGCTACACAAAAATATGAATGTGTTTAACATCACTGAACTCTACACTTAAAAATGGTTAAGATGGTAAATCTTATGTTACTTGTATTTTAACACAATTTTTTTTGTGTTTCAAATTGGGATTATGTTAAATCTATAAATCAGATTGGGGATAACCATCTATACATTCACTCTTCTAATTCATGAATATGATATATCTCTTCATTTATTTAGCTTTTCCTTAATTTAAAATTTTACCTAAATGAAGTTTATAAATTCTGTATGCCAGAGGTTTTGTACAATCTTTGATTAGACTGACTTCTAGGTATAGTCTATTTTAAAATTCTATTTTAAGTGGTACCTTTTTAGAAATTTTTATTTTTATTTTCTCTTCGTTACTAGGTAAGGATTGGATTAAAATTCAAATTATACCAGAGCCAGGTATCCAAACTAATACATGAAAAAACATAGAAGTGTTAAAGTACAAATTTTATCCTCAAAAATTACATGGATTATTTGGGTGGCAAAATTAGAAATAATAGGAAAATGATGCCTTGCTTCATTAAATGGGCTTTAATAAATGATAGTGCTATTGATTTATAATACTACTTACTGGGCAAACTAATTTTAATGAATAGCATAAAATCAGACTTAATAGTTGAATTTCTCATAACATGGAATGCTACTGAATATTGATTGTATTATGGTTCTAGGCTATTAGCATTATTATTAAACCTTCTGATATGTGTCTCTTTTATTTAACTCAGGTGAAAAGGATTCAATGATTTTTGACTGTACTGAATGCTATGATCCAGTTACTAAACAGTGGACAACTGTAGCTTCAATGAATCACCCCCGCTGTGGTTTGGGAGTGTGTGTGTGTTATGGGGCTATCTATGCTTTGGGTAATTATGCTTTTCAGTTTAAGGATATCTGGTATTATTTAAATTCTTAGATTCTAGTTACTTTAGACATTTTTCTTTCCTCCCACAAGAAACATGTCTTTTCAGCTTTATAAATTTAATTTTCAAGTTTGAGTTACTTGGGGAATATTGTCAAGTATGGATCTCTTAGAAGGAGATGGAGATAAAGTGTAGTAAGATGTCCAGTGAAGCACTTCAGCTGACTAATTAAATCTCATGATTAGGATAGCCATTCTGAATGTGCAGAAGTTGTTTCAAAAGGTAGTTTTGCAAAATACCTTATTTCCTAAGCAACATGATGAGCTTTTTTTTTTATTTTGTTTTGTTTTTTTTAAATATCTGATGAAAACTAGTCAGAGTTAAGATCCAAGTTTTATAGGCAGATTCCAACTTTTTGTATGATCTTAGACAAATAACCCCTCTGGTACATATGATTATCATTCACATTATAAAGTTGCCAGATTAGATGCTTTCTAAGGTATTTTTCATAGATAAGATTTCTTTATCCAGAAATGACATTTTTCTTTTTGGTTACAGGTGGATGGGTTGGAGCAGAGATAGGTAATACCATTGAACGATTTGATCCTGATGAAAATAAGTGGGAAGTAGTTGGCAACATGGCTATGTCACGCTACTACTTCGGGTGTTGTGAAATGCAAGGTATTGCTTTCTAAAAATTTTTTTCTGAAAATGTATTTTATTTTTTGGGGGAGGGGAAAGGGAAGAGGGAGAAAAGAGAATCCAAAGCGGGCTCCATGCCCAGCATGGAGCCCAGTATAGGGCTCAGTCTCACAACCCTGAGATCATGACCTGAACTGAAGCAAGAGTCAGATGCTTAACTGACTGAGCCACCCAGGTGCCATCCTCTTTTTCCCCTAAGAATATATTTTTTGAAAAACTAAGCTTGAGCCTTTATTTTCACAAAACTATGTTTTATGTCTGTTAGAATTGACTGATTGACACTAACAGTATGGACGTATTATTTTAAACATTTTTATATGTTTTAATCTCTTATATCTTTATATCTGTATTGCCAAAATAATATTTTTTTTCCAAAATAAATAAAAGAAGAATTAAAAATTACAAATGAGCCGAAGACCTGACTAAGAAAATAAGCATTTGAACCTTCGTCCATCTTTTGTCACTTTCTCTCCCATACAGTCCTTAGTAAGTTAGGATGAGGATATGAAAAACAATCTTCACTGTCTCTTATTTTGGCATTTTCAGTGTTTTCTTACAGGGCACATTGTGATTCAGTCCACACAGAATATAATGCTATGACAAATTGGAAAAATGTTGTACCATAGGGTGCTGGGTGGCTCAGTGGGTTGAGCCTCTGCCTTCAGCTCGGGTTGTGATCTAAGGGTCCTGGGATTGAGCCCCGCATCAGGCTCTCTGCTTGACGGGGAGCCTGCTTCCCCCTCTCTCTCTTCCTGCCTTTTTGCTTACTTGTGATCTCTCTCTCTGTCAAATAGATGAATAAAATCTTTTAAAAAAAATGTTGTACCACATATTAAAATGGTGTACAAACATTATTTTGTCTACTATACCCTGAGAAGTAGTTGGTAAGCATTGTCAAGTAGAACTGGATTCTTGGTCCAGATTGGAGAGCAGATTTATATGTACCTGTAGAGTAGTGAGCAATGTGCTCCTTGTTAAAACAACTCGATCTGCTATTCCCAGCTCAAGTTCTTTCTGCTTTGTGAGTACCTTCTCAGATTTCCACTAGAATTTAAGTGTTCAAGTTACATGGTACAGACTATATCCTGTTGTGTAATACTATAGTGTTCTCTAATTGTTTTATATTTATGATTTTTATCTTCTCATATAAATTAAGTGTTCTGAGACTTAGTTTTCAGCATGGGGGTAGGGGCTGGTTTCTCTTCTACTAGCAAGAAGAGGTTCTCAGAATACCACCTAGGTGTTGGAGAATTCAATTCAACTCTAATACTGTGTACACATACCTGGAGATAGCATCAAATTCCACATCAGTCCTACAACACTCATCCTCCCCAGGCTATTATTACCTGTGCTTTGGAGTGACAGGCTATAGATCAGAGATTCCAGTGGTCCCTCCTCTTCAGGTTCAATTAATTTGCTAGTGTAGCTCACAGAACTCAGAGAAAATGTTACTACTAAAATGACATAACACAGGAGCAGCTAGATGGAAGAGATGCAAAGTCAAGTTATACAAAAGGAGCACAGAGTTTTCATGCCCTCCCTCTCCAGATACACCACTGTTCCCACATCTCCACATACTCACCAACCCAGAAGCTCTCCAAACCCTGTCCTTTTTTTTTTAATGAGTTGTCTTTTTTTTTTTCTTTTAATTTTATTTATTTATTTGACATAGAGAGACACAACGAGAGAGGGAACACAAGCAGGGGGAGTGGGAGAGGGAAAAGCAGGCTTCCCACCAAGCATGGAGCCCAATGCGGGGCTGGATCCCTGGACACTGGGACTCTGACCTTAGCCAAAGGCAGAAGCTTAACTACTGAGACACCCAGGCACCCCAAACCTGTCCTTTTGGATTTTTATGGAGGCTTCACTATATACATAGGCACAAGTGGTTAAATCATTGGCCATTGGTGATTGATTCAACCTCTACACCTCCTCTCCCCAGAGGTCAGGGGCTGAGACTGAAAGTTCTACACTCAGATCATAAGTTTGACTCCTTTGGCAACTACCCCCCATTCCTTAAGTGCTTTCCCAAAGTTGCCTCATTAACATAACAAAAGACACCCTTCTCATTCTGGACACTTTGGAAATTCCAAGGATTTAGCTTGCTGTGAGCAAGGAATTGTGGATGAAAACCATATATAGATGAGAAATGTATTTTGGTCATCTGAATGACCAACTACATATTCCTTTTTTTCATAATTTTTATTTTATTTATTTATTTGAGGGGGGTAGATAGCCTGAGCAGGAGGAGGGGCAAAGGGAGAGGAAGAAGCAGACTCCCGTTGACCAGAGAGCCCCACATGGGTCCGGATCCCAGGACCCAGGGATCATGACCTGAGCCAAAGGCAGCCGCTTAACCAACTCACCCACCCAGGTGTCCCCCAAATACATATTTCTTAAAAATCACAGTATTGTACCTTCTAAAATCATAGAGCTAGAGAGGCATCTTGGAGATTATCTATTTTAATCTCTTTATTTATAGATGAGCAAGCAGAAGATCAGGAAGGTTGTGAATTATCTTTTCCCACAGCTGGTTACTGGCAAAGCTGGAGCTAGAACCCAAGTTTCAAATCAAATATAATAAGCAACTCACAGTGACTTACATTGTAATGTACTCTAGTGATATGATCCTGAATACCTTAATCTTCCCATATAACTAATTTGAATTCACTTCTCTATATCCATTTGAGTAACAGGTAGGCTGTCACCAAATAAGGCTATATCATTCCCAGTTTAAGTGCATGGTATTTTTTTAGGGGAAAGAAAATCCCTCTCCCTTTCCTTTTTTATGTCATGTTAGCACTGATTCTGGAACTTGAGGTCATCAAGTAGATAATAAGGTGGAAAACCATGTCTGACTGTTTTGTTATAGCACTGTAAGTTCTTTGAAAAACAAATGCACTTAATTTTTTTTTAAGTTGTATTTATTTTAGAGAGAGCATGTGCATGGGGGTGGGGGAAGGGCAGAAGGAGAGGGAAAGAATCTTAAGCAGACTCCATTCTGAGCATGGAACATGACAACAAAAGACTCAGTCTCCCTGGGACCCCTGGGTGGCTCAGTTGGTTAAGCAGCTGCCTTCGGCTCAGGTCATGATCCCAGCGTCCTGGGATCGAGTCCCGCATCAGGCGCCTTGCTCGGCAGGGAGCCTGCTTCTCCCTCTGCCTGCCATTCTGTCTGCCTGTGCTCGCTCTCTCTCCCTCTCTCTCTGACAAATAAATAAAATCTTTAAAAAAAAAAAAAAAAGACTCAGTCTCCCAACCCCAAGATCATGACCTGAGCCAAAATCAAGAGTTGGACGCTTAACCAAATGAACTACATAGGTACCCTTTAAATGCCACTTTAAATTATACCTCTAATTCTTTGTAACATGCTTAAATATGAGCTATGATACACCAGACAGAAGTCAAATTTCTCTCTTAAAGGATAATGTGAGCCCTACATTAAATATGGTCTCAGCATAGCAGACATAAATCATAAGTCTTATGTTTTATAATTATTTACATTCTATTTTCTGTAGCATCTGAATAAAAATATTCTGTTTCCAGGTTTAATTTATGTAATTGGGGGCATCAGCAATGAAGGAATAGAGCTTCGTTCTTTTGAAGTGTATGATCCACTTTCTAAGCGTTGGTCTCCACTTCCTCCGATGGGAACCCGGAGAGCCTATCTTGGTGTGGCTGCACTCAATGACTGTATCTATTCTGTTGGAGGGTGGAATGAGACACAGGATGCTCTTCATACTGTGGAAAAATATTCCTTCGAAGAGGTAGGTTGGACAATTTCAAATGCTTTGATATCCTGTTCTGTTGTGATGTGCATTCTTTTATTCATGATATTGATCATTTGTAGTTTTTTTTTTTCTTTTTAGAGAACCAACTTTGGTGTTACAGGTTTTTTTCTATTGATTGCCTATCTTCGGTTTCATTGATTTCTCTATCTTTTTTCTTCTGTTTTGTTTTGTTTAATTTGCACTTTTTTCAGGGCACCTGAGTGGCTCAGTGGGTTAAAGTCTCTGCCTTTGGCTCAGGTCATGATCCCAGGGTCATGGGATGGAGCCCCACATCAGGCTTACTGCTCAGCGGGGAGCCTGCTTCCTCTTCTCTCTCTGCCTGCCTCTCTGCCTACTTGTGATCTCTTTCTCTCTGTCAAATAAATAAATAAAATCTTAAAAAATTTTTTGCACTTTTTTTCTAAATTCTTTTTTTTTTTTAAAGGTTTTATTTATTTACTTGACAGACAGAGATCACAAGTAGGCAGAGAGGCAAGCAGAGAGGGAGAAAGGAGGAAGCAGGCTCCCTGCCGAGCAGAGAGTCCAATGTGGGACTTGATCCCAGGACCCTGAGATCATGACCCAAGCTGAAAACAGAGGCCTAACACACTGAGCCACCCAGGTACCCCCTGCACATATTTTGAATCTCTGTTATTAAGTGTGTACAAATTGAGATTATTGTCTTATTGATGAATTGATCCTTTCATAGTCATGAAATATTTGTCTTTATGTTTGGTAATATTCTTTGTTCCTAAGTCTACTTTGATATTAATTTGACTAATTGATGTAGCCAAGCTATTTTTTGATGATTATTTGCATGGTGCATCTTTTTCTTTCCTCCCACTTTAAATCTATCTACATCTTTACAAGCTGCATCTCTGGTAAGATAACATACAGTTGTAATCTCTTTTTTTATCCAGGTTGACAATCTCCAACTTTCAAAAGGAATCTTTAGAATTTTTCCTGTTTATATGTAATGTAATTGGAGATATGGTTGGATTTTAGACTCCTGTTTTGCAGTTTTACTCTTTGTATAATTCATTCTTTGATCCTTTTTTCTCTCTTTTCTGAATTTACATTGACTATTTTAGTATTCCATTTTCTCTCTTTTATTATCCAATTAACTATAACTTTGCCTTTTTCTTAGTGGTTACTGTAGGGCTTACATTGTGCGTTATATGTATTTATACTATAAATATACTGTATCAAGGCAATCTTTGAATATTATCATATTCATTTTCTTATTCTTTTTCTTTTTTTAATTTTAAACCATTTTTATTTATTTTTGGCTTTCTCTGCCTCTCTCTCTTTTAGATTACTTATTTATTTATTAGAGACAGTGAGCAAGAGAGAGAATACAAACAGGGGGAATGGCAGAGGCAGAGGGAGAAGCAGGCTCCCCAATGAGCAGGGAGCCTGATGTGGGGCTCGATCCCAGGACCCTGGGATCATGACCTGAGCCAAAGGCAGACACTTAACTGACTGAGCCACCCAGGCACCCCAACAGTCAGTTACGTTTAAAATTAAATGTTAATGTGAAAGTCTTTGATAATTATACATATATTAATAATTCCTAGTCCTATTCTTTTCTATAGAACTAAGTTTCTATCTCATAACGTTTTCTCTTTGCATGAAGAACTTCCTTTAATAGTTCTCTTAGTGCTGGTCTTCTGGCATTTATTCTCTTAGTGTTCATTTTCTGAAACTATTTTTTCACCTTCATTTTTGAAAGATACTTTATTGAGTATAAAATTTTTTCCCTACCATCTAAAAGGTGATGTTTAATTATCTGCTTGCACTATTACTGATGGGAAGTCAGTAGTCATTCTTATCCTTGTTCCCATATATATATATACGTAATGTGTCTTTTTTTCCTTGGAGGCTTTTACAGTTTTCTGTTCATCATGGGATTCCAGTAATTTGATTATTGTTTATCTTTTTGGAGTTTTATGTTTAATTTGTTTGGAATTCATTGAACTCCTTGAATCTGTGGGATTACAGCTTGCATCAAAATGAATGTTTTCAGCCATATTTCCTCAGATATTCTCCTGCTATTTTTCTGAGACTCCAATAACATGCATGTAAGACCACTTTAATATTGTCCCACAGGTCACTGAGGCTCTGTTAATTTTGATCTCCCATCTTTTTTCTCTCTGTGGTTAAGTTCATTTTTGTTTTACAGCTTCATTGAGGTATACTTGATAAAAATTGTGTAGATTTAAGGTGTATAATGTGATGTTTTGATATATGTTGTGAAATGACTACCAAATCAACCTAATTAACATACTTATCACCTTATATTTTCCTGTTCCTTTTTTTTACTTTTTTTTTTTTTTAAGATTTTATTTATTTATTTGGCAGACAGAGAGGGGGAAAGCAGGCTCCCTGATGAGCAGAGAGCCCGATGTGGAGCTCGATCCATGACCATGGGATCATGACCTGAGCTGAAGGCAGAGGCTTTAACCCACTGAGCCACCCAGGCGCCCCTTTTTTTACTTTTTAACTGAAGTCTTTATTAGCCATTCTAATTTTTTAAAAAATTCCAGTGTAGTTAAACATACAGTATTGTATTAGTTTCAGGTTCTCTTTTCCTTTTCTCATGTGTGGTAAGAGTTGCTTTCTTACCAAATTTCAAGTATACAATATAGTATTATGAACTATAGTCACCATGTTTTATATTAGATCTCTAGAACTTATTCATCCTGCATAACTGAAATTCTGTTCTCTGTGCTTCAGTTTGGATGGTTTCTTTTGCTGTGTTTTCAAGTTCATTGATCTACATTGTCTCACTTCTAATATGCAATATCTAATTACATTTAGGGAATTTTTCATTTCAGATATATATATTTTTTAGCACTAAAAGATCTTTTTGGTTGTTTTTAATGTCTTCCATTTCTCCCCTCATTGTGTTCATCTTTTCCTTTAGATCCTTGAACATATTTATAATATCTGTTTTTAAGTCCTTGTCTGTTGTTCTCATTATCACCATCACTTTTGGACCTGTATCTGTTGAACTTTTTCTTCCTGTTTGAGTCACCTTATTCCTGCTTTTCCACATTTCTAGTAACTTCTGATTGGATGGTGGACACAGTGAATGTTATATTGCTGAGTGTTTGGATTTTATTTCTTCTTTTAGGAAGTATTGAGTTTACTTTTGGTAAGCAGCTAAATTATTTGTGAATCAGACTGATTCTTTTGAGACATATTCTTAAGCTTTGTAGGAAAGGTCTAGAGTAGTGTTTCCTTTAGGTCTCCTACTAAAAGCATGACCCTTCTTATGTCTCTATTGAATGTCCTAGCTGTTCAGCAAGGTGTCTTTATTTTGGCTAGTCAAAACTAGAATGTCATCCAGCTTTGTGTGAGATCTGGGAATTGTTCAGTTTATAACTCCCGTAATGGAAAACAGTTTCTCTAGTCACAATACTTTTGACACCAAATGTGCGTGTTTTCCATACCAAGCTGTTTCCCAGTTCTCTTATGTTCACCAACTAGGTACCCTCAAGTCAATTCATTTCTGACCCTAAAAACGCAACAGGCTAAGAGCTCAGTTTCACAGATTACCCCTCACTTTACACACCAGTTTCAAGTAGTGGGTCCTGAGGTTAACCACTAACTTATTTACACTTGTCTGACTTGGCTACAAGTTGGGGGTTCCCATAATCCTTTCCTCAGGTTCAATAATTTGCTCTAATGGTTTACAGAATTCAGGCGAACACTGTGTAAGTGGTCTATTGTAAAGGATTCAAATGGATAGCCAGATAAAGAGGTATATAAGGCAAGGTCCAAAAGGTCTTGAGTGTAGGAGTCTCTGTAGAATTTGGGGTGTGACACCCTTCTGACACATGGATGTGTTCACCAACCTGGATGCTCTCTGAACACCATAGTATAGAGATTTTTATGGAGACTTCATCATGAAGGCATAATTGATTATTAATTCAACCCCCAACCCTCTTCCCCTCCCCAAATGATGGGGGTGGGGATAAAAGTTGCAAGCTTCTAATTCTGCCTTGGTCTTTCTGGCAACCAGCCCCCATTTCTTCTTCTTCTTCTTTTTTTTGTAAAGATGTTATTTATTTATTTGACAGAGATCACAAGTAGGCAGAGAGGCAGGCGCGGGGGGGCAAGCAGGCTCCCTGCTGAGCAGAGAGCCCAATGTGGGGCTCCATCCCAGGACCCTGGGATCATGACCTGAGCTGAAGGCAGATGCTTTAACCCACTGAGCCACCCAGGCACCTCCAGCCCCCATTTCTGAAGCTATTTAAGGAGTCCACCAAGAGTTGCCTCATTAGAACAAAAGACACTAATATCATCCAGGGAATTCCCAGGGATTGAGGAGTTCTGTGTCAGGAACTGGGGCCAGAGGCCAAAGGTATACTTATGTCATATCTTCCTATGAGTTGTTCTGTGCCTATTTCTCATGAAGTTTTACTTTATGCATTGCATAGATTAATGGCATTCAGCTGAAGACACAAGGGGACCTCTGGCAGTCTTGCTGGCAAATCTTGGCTACTTCAACCTCTCTAAACTCTGATCTCTGCCTCTTAAATCAGATTATTGTCATTCTGTGCTTGGAAATCCCCTTCCTTGTGGTGTGCAGAAAGCCCCACCAGACAGAAAGCCTAGATGACCATGAAGTTCACCTTCTTTGTTTCTATTTCTGACTGATCACAATTTTTCATTGTCTGTTGTCTGGGAACTTTAGTTTTTTAGGTTTGTCCACTTTTCTAGGTCTTTGTGGCAGGAGGACAGCTTTGGTAACAATTATTCTATTGTGGCTGTAAGTGGAAATCCTTCCTATGTCATTTTGCAGTGCTCCCATCATTCATTGAGCATGCCTTTACTTTCTAGCATAATAAAATATTTTGAGCTCATTTTATACTTTCTCTGCTTTAGCTCTGGAATCAGCCATTTTTCTAAGAAGCTCCAGTTCCTCTTAGTGAAGGATAGTATTTAGAAACCAAGGTCTAGGCACTCAGACTACTCATGGCTACTGGGATATTGCTGCTTCTAGGCACTCGCAGTAAACAGAGCTAGGAATACATGTACCTATATACATCATGTATTCACTCACATATTTATAAGTATTTCTGTAACATGTAAGTCATATGTTGTAAAACCGTGAGTTTATGATGATAACTCCAGTTCCAGTGCAATATCTCAGATTCTTTCAGGCCTTCCCCATTTCCATGTCTGTAAATACCTTCTCTGTTAGTTAAAAACTACTTGGCTCTTATTATTCTCCCTATAGTCTACCCTTGAACAACATGGTTTTGAACTGTGTGGGTCCACTTATACATGGATTTTTTTCAATAAATACAATATAGTACTGTAAATGTATCTTTTCTTCCAATTTTTTCTTTTCTTTTATTACATTTTATTTTATTTTTTCAGTGTTCTAAGATTCATTGTTTATGCACCACACCCAGTGCTCCATGCAATACAGGCCCTCCTTGATATCCACCACCAGGCTCACCCATCCCCCCACCTCCCTCCCCTCCAAAACTCTCAGTTTGTTTCTGAGTCCACAGTCTCTCATGCTTCGTCTCTCCCCACCCCCAATTTACCCCAATTCACTTTTCCTTTCCTTCTCCTAATGTCCTCTCTGTTATTCCTTATGTTCCACAAGTAAGTGAAACCATATGATAATTGAATTTCTCTGCTTGACATATTTCACTCAGCATAATCTCCTCCAGTCCCGTCCATGTTGATACAAAAGTTGGGTATTCATCCTTTCTGATGGCTATATAATACTCCATTGTGTGTGTGTGTGTGTGTGTGTGTGTGTGTGTCACACACCATATCTTCTTGAGCCATTCGTCTGTTGAAGGGCATCTTGGCTCTTTCCACAGTTTGGTGATTGTGGCCATTGCTGCTATGAACATTGGAGTACATATGCCCTTCTTTTCACTACATCTGTATCTTTGGGGTAAATACCCAGTAGTGCAATTGAAGGGTCATAGGGTAGCTCTATTCTGATTTTCTTTATAACATTTTCTTTTCTCTAGCTTACTTTATTGTAAGAATTTAGTACATAATACATACACAAAATATGTGTTCGTTGTGTTATTGGTAAGGGTTTTGGTCAACAGTAGGGTATTAATGGGGTACCTGGGTGGCTCATTCACGTATGCATCCAACTCTTGATTTTGGTTCAGGTCATGATCTCCGGGTTGTGAGATTGAGCCCCTGCATCAGGCTCCATGCTGCATGTGGAGCCTACTTAAGATTCTCTCTCTCCCTTTCCCCTTCTCTCCCTTTATTCCCCTCTCTAAAACAAAGAAACAAAACAAAACAAACCCAGTAAGCTATTAGTAGTCAAGTTTTGAGGGAGTCAAAAGTTTTACATGGATTTTTAAAAAATTTTAGAATTTACTTATTTTTTTTTAAAGATTTTATTTATTTATTTGACAGAGAGAGAGATCACAAGCAGGCAGAGCAGCAGGCAGAGAGAGAGGGGGAAGCAGGATCCCCGCCGAACAGAAAGCCCGATGTGGGGCTGGATCCCAGGACCCCGAGATCATGAGCTGAGCTGAAGGCAGAGGCTCAACCCACTGAGCCACCCAGGCACCCCGAATTTACTTTTTATTTAAACTCAATTAATATACAATAATTATTGGTTTCAGAGATAGAGCTCAGTGATTCATCAGTCTTACATAATACCCAGTGCTCATCATATCACATGTGCTCCTTAATGTCCATCACCCAGTTATCTCTCTCCCCTTCCCCCTCCAGCAACCCTCTGTTTCCTTTTTTTTTTTTAAGATTTTTAAATTTTTATTTGAGAGAGACAGACAGAGAATGAGAGAGATAGCACAAGAGTGGGGTGAGAGGCAGAAGGAGAAGCAGACTCCCCACCGAGCAGGGAGCCCCATGTGGGACTCGAACCTGGGACTCTGAGACCATGACCCGAGCTGAAGGCAGATACTCAACCAACTAAGCCACGCAGGCGCCCCTCAGTTTGTTTCCTATGCTTAAGAGTCTCTTATGGTTTGTCTCCCTCTTTAATTTGGTCTTGTTTTATTTTTTCCTCTCTTCCCCTATGATCCTCTGTTTTGTTTCCTAAATTCCGCATGTCGGGGTGCCTGGGTGGCTCAGTGGGTTAAACCTAAATTCCACATGTCAGTGAGATCATATGATAATTGAATTTCTCTGATTTATTTATTTCACTTAGCATAACACCTTCTAGTTCTATCCACATTGTTGAAAATGGCAAGATTTCATTTTTTTGATGGCTAAGTAGTATTCTTTTGTATATAGATACCACATCTACCTTCTTCTTTTTTTATTTTTTTGTTTTTTTATTTTTATTTATTTATTTATTTATCTTTAAAATTTATTTATTTGAGAGAGAGAGAATGCATGAGAGGGAAGTGGTCAGAGGGAGAAACAGACTCCCTGATGAGCAGGGAGCCCGATGTGGGACTCGATCCCCGAACTCCAAGATCATGATCCAAGCCGAAGGCAGTTGCTTAACCAACTGTGCTACTCAGGCGCCCTTCTTCTTTTTTTAAAGATTAAATCAGCTATAGATATTTTTGTGAATATCTATGGTTTTTTTCTTTTGTTTTGTTTTTTAAAGATTTTTATTTATTTATTTGACAGACAGAGATAACAAGTAGGCAGAGAGGCAGATAGAGAGAGAGGGTGGGGAACCAGGCTCCTGCTGAGCAGAGAGCCTGATGCGGGGCTTGATCCCAGGACCCTGAGATCATGACCTGAGCTGAAGGCAGAGGCTTAACCCACTGAGCCACCCAGGCGCCCCTATCTTTGTGTTTAAAAATATGAGTATTTTGGGAGCACCTGAGTGGCTCAGATAAGTGTCTGACGCTTGATTTCAGCTCAGGTCATGATCTTAGAGTCATGAGATCTAGCCCTGTGTTGGGCATCATGCTGGGTGTGGAGCCTGCTTGGGATTCTCTCTCTCTCTCTGCCCATCCCCCTGCTCATGTGTACATTCTCTCTTTCTTTCTAGGTAAATAAATAAAACATGAATTTTTTCAACAATGCCAACTTTGTCATAATTCTGTAATTTCAGATAGTCTAATAGCCTTCAATTTTTAATAGAGGTCCTTCAATTTCAAAGGATTGTCTCTGGTTTTGGTATCTCAAAATTTAATTTAAATTCAGATCAGCAAACAAGGGCACCTGGGTGGCTCAGTCTGTTAAGTGTCTGCTTTTGGCTTAGGTCATGATCCCGGGGTCATGGGATCAAGCTTTTCAGGCTTCCCATTCAATGGGAGTCTGCTTGACATTCTCCCTCCCTCTCCTTCTGCTCCCTCCCCCATGTGCTCTCCCTCTTTCTAAAATAAATAAATAAATCTAAAATAAAATGGCAGTCAATCATTAAATTCAGATCAGCAGACCTACATTGAGTGTCTATAATGTGCTAGTGCTAGGCTGAGTCCTGGGATGTGAAGCTTTTTAAGTTTTCTGTCCTCAAAAATTCACTTTCTAGCATTGATGAATAGTTGGTGTTCACCCTTTGTTTCTATAAACTTTGTTCATCATATACTTTATTTCCAGATAACTTGCTCTTTTTTCTCTTGATTATTTTTTGGGACCTTTATTAGCTTTCCTGTTTTCTGGGTATAGCCATTTTCTCTGGAGAAGGTCATTATGAATAATTTTGGTTATAGCAGGTTATTGAAATTTCTTCAGGGAACAGTGTATACCAGGAGTTAGCAAACTTTTTAGTAGACAGATAGGGGAACATGGGTGACTCAGCCAATTGAGCATCTGACTCTTGGTTTCAGCTCAAGTCATGATCTCAGGGTGCAGAGCCCACAGTGGGCTCCATGCTCAGTACCAAGTCTGCTTAAGATTCTTACCCCTCCTTCTCTCTCCCCCTCTGCTACTCCTCCCATTCACCCTCTTTCTCTCAAATAAATAAAATGCTTTTTTTTTAAAAAAAAGAGTATTTTAGGCCTGCAAGCTACATACAATCTTTTTGGCACATTCTTGTTTTGTTATTTTTCAATTCATTTTTATTTTCATTAAGTTTTAAAATAAAAATTTTTTTAAAGATTTTATTTATTCACTTGACAGAGACACAGAGAGATCACAAGTAGGCATAGAGGCAGGCAGAGAGGGGTGAAGCAGGCTCCCCACTGAGCAGAGAGACTGACGTGGGGCCCAGTCCCAGGACCCCAAGATCATGACCTCAGCCGAAGGCAGAGGCTCAACCCACTGATCCACCCAGGCATCCCTTATTTTTTTAATTCCAGTGTTATTAACATACAGTGTTATATTAGTTTCAGATGTACAATATAGTGATTCACCATATCTATACTTTACACAGTACTCTTCATAATAAATGTCCTCTTTAATCCCCATCTCCTGGTTCACCCATCCTCCCCCCCACCTCCCCTTTAGTAACCATCAGTTTGTTCTCTATAGTTAAGAGTCTATTTCCTGGTTTGTCTCTATTTTTTTATTCATTTTCTTGTTTGTTTTGTTTTTTTAAGTTCTACATGTGAGGGGCGCTTGGGTGGCTCAGTGGGTTAAGCCTCTGCCTTTGGCTCAGGTCATGATTTCAGGGTCCTGGGATCGAGCCCCACATCGGGCTCTCTGCTCAGCGGGGAGCCTGCTTCCTCCCACTCTCTGCCTGCTGCTCTGCCTGCTTGTGCTCTGTCTGTCAAATAAATAAATAAAATCCTTAAAATAAAAAAGCTCATTTGACAATGTCCTACATATATTTATATGACTGGACTCTTGAGTTTGTAATTTAAATATTTAAAAAGAACCAGAGTATTTGATTTCTCAGCAGTTTTCTCTATTGTCATCTTATGATTCTGCTAACTTTTTTTTTTTTTCCTCTTAACCAGGAAAAGTGGGTTGAAGTTGCTTCAATGAAAGTGCCTAGAGCAGGCATGTGTGTTGTGGCAGTCAATGGGCTTCTATATGTTTCTGGAGGTCGATCTTCGAGCCATGATTTCTTGGCCCCAGGTACCTTGGACTCTGTCGAAGTTTATAACCCTCATTCAGATACATGGACAGAAATTGGTAACATGATCACCAGTCGTTGTGAAGGAGGTGTTGCTGTACTATGAAATATAAAGTATAAGGGAGCACAAGAAACATTTGGAAAATATAGGATTTGACCTTTTGTAAATCACACATATATTTGGTGATAGGACCCTCTGATTCTATTGAGTTTTCCATGTATATGGTAGATAAATGACTAAAGAATGATTTTTTCTAAGAATTTGAGTAAGGAGAGATATGGAATATTATCCTAAATTAATAAAGAACTCACTCAAATTTGCCATGCTTACCAATAGGAATGCTGTTTATGCTCTAGAATTCTCTTAGGGGTAGAGTCCTATTTGTAAAAATGATTTGCTAGAAGCTTCTTGGCAAATAGCCCCATTAGCTGCTTCTCCAGTGTAAGCCACACTGTAACATGACCCATGTGTGATGTAAGAATATCAGTGAGACAGTTTGAAGATGTCTGTACATTCAGTCTATGGCACAATTTTCCATGACCACAGTTGAACCTACAGAGAAAAGCCAGTGACACAACTCCCTACTTTTATTTGATACCAAACTTTTTATTGGCAGCAGATACACTGGGAGGGACATGTAGGAAATATCTAGCTATCTCTATAGATGTTTATATAGACAGACAAGTTTTTGCCTGTTGATAACAGGATTAAAAAAGCTTTTGCTCACTTATGTTGTCTTAGTGCTGAAAATGCAAGTGAGGAATTACTAGGACGTTCTTCATTAAAGTCCTTTAGTGCAATTGGATGATATAATGAGTGACAGAGCCCAGTGAGAGATAGGTACCTATTAAATTTCTTTCCTATTTTCTAAATAGTTATCAAAAATTATCTGCTTGGTTTGGGGAAGAGGGAATTTTATTAGACTATCAAGCTTTGTGAAGCTTACTTGTACTTGGGCAATCCTAAGTATGAACTTAGTACAAAACCTACTGCCTGGTTTGGAGAAGGTGGAATTGTAGGGACCTATGAAGCTTTTTATAGACATTGACAAAAGCCTTAAGTTGAAAGTCCTCTGATCCAAAACTGCTTTTTAAAACTTTTCATTTTTTTCCCCCTGAGAAACATTCTAAAGAATTGTTCTCTATTTCTGAGAGGAACATTCTTTTGTGTACATGATCATCACTTTTAGTTATTTCTACCAGTTGCTTGGAGCCATATATATTAAGTCTTACATACATTTAGGTTAATCTAGTGATTCCAGGATTTGATTTGTATATTCCTGATTTCCCCTTTTCCTTTTTTTTTTTTTTAAAGATTTTTAAACAATCTCTACACCCAGCGTAGGGCTTGAAGCTACAACCCTGAGATCAAGAGCCAGCGAGGCACCCGATTCCCCCCTTTTCTTTCTTAAAGTCCTTCAGTGTATTATTACAGGCTTCAGCAGCTTATTTAGATAGAAAATCTTTGTTGGTAACCATTAAAGACTCAGGTGGCACTCATATCCAAAATATTTGGATTGCCTCACAAGAGTACTTTCTTTTATAATTTAACCATATGCATTTATTAAGAAAAGCTTATGTAGTGTAGTGTGTACCTGTGTCCCTTTGTTTGGGTATCCTAAAAGCTAAAAGTCTAAAGGGTCATAGGTGCCTGGTGTGATCTATAAAATGTCAAGGAATGACAGATGATTTGTAGATTACTTAAACTCCAATTCATGTGCCTTTAATATTTCTCTACAGAGAATCTGCTTTCTGGTTCAAAAGAGATTTACAAAATAATCCTATAATTTCTCATTATTGCCTGGTGCCAACCTGAAATGGCACTGTGAAGTGAGGCATTTTGTAGTGCTGTGGCAGAAACAGGTCAAGACAATCTGTGTTTGGGCTTAATGGGTCCAGACAATCCCTGTAAATAGATAATTGTAAAAATGCTTATTATATTATTTTCTGGGTGATGATTTTAAAAATAATGTACTAATAAAGTATGTTGATTTTTGCTTTTTCCTTTTCCTTGTATTACTTATTAACTTAGTTTATTAGCAGTGTTCCTAGATTACCCAAATGTAATAGGATTGCCCAAGATTTTTTTTTTTTTTAAATTTTATTTATTTATTTGACAAACAGAGATTATAAGTAGGCAGAGAGGCAGGCAGAGAGAGAGGAGGAAGCAGACTCCCTGCTGAGCAGAGAGCCCCATGCGGGGCTCGATCCCAGGACCCTGAGATCATGACCTGAGCCGAAGGCAGCGGCTTAACCCACTGAGCCACCCAGGTGCCCCAGATTGCCCAAGATTTTTATTGTTTGTTTTACCTTTAGGGGCTTGCACATTTAGTTCTTACATTTAAATGCTTACCGAGCAGCTATTAATGTGATCTTCCTCCGAAATATTTGACAATCTAATATACTTCTAAACATCCTGTCCAATGTAAAGTCAGATGTACTTTCAAGTCAGTTTTTTCCCCCAAAGATTTTATTTATTTATTTATTTGACAGAGATCACAAGTAGGTAGAAAGGCAAGCAGAGAGAGAGGGTGAAGTGGGCTCCCCCCCTGAGCAGAGAGCCCGACGTGGGCTCGATCCCAGGACCCTGAGATCAAGACCTGAGCCAAGGGCAGAGGTTTAACCCACTGAGCCACCCAGGTGCCCCTAAAATCAGGTGTTTTTGTTTTTTTGTTTTGTTTTGTTTTTTAAGAATCATAACACTGTGGGGTGCCTGGGTATTATTACTACTAGCTGGTATTAATTAATATTAATTAGTATTATTACTACTAGCTGGTATTATTTGAATATGGAGTTAAGTTGTGTCTTTAAAAACTGGAAAGTATGTTCAGCTTTTCTTTGAACATGGCTTCCCCTGACACTGCTCCCTACTGACTTTAGAGCAGCCGCAGATCCTTTCAGCTCATATAAATAGATTATACCGACAAAATGGGGTTGGAAATGTGATTCCCGGGGCAACTGCAATGAAAACTCCACACTGGAACCACCTATTATTCTCAGACACTAATGGATACAAAGTTTTCCTCTTGTGGGAGAATGTGCCTCTTTTTTCAATGATCATAAGGCTCTAAAAAAGGGGTTTCCGTTTTTATTATTTTATTCAAAACAAAACATTAAAATGTGTAATTCATAAAGACTAAAAACTGTAATCTAAAGTGAAAATGACTTGTTAGGGATTTTCAAACTGTTGTCAAGTAATTTCTATGAAACAAAGATTCCTAGAAATGAAAAAAATCTGTGAAGAATAAATAACCACCGATGGAGGAAAAAGCTGTTAAACAGGATAAGTAGAAAAAGATAATGCCAAAACAGCCTTCTAAGGCTTATAGCCAACATGCTCATGTCATCTACAAAGTAGTTTTGTATTTATTCTACCTGACCAGGTCTCTTGGGTCCTTTCTCTGGATAAATATCTTCAACTAGTAAAGTGATTATAAATGAAAACAAGGCCACTAAAGTGACTACTATCTTAAGGGCTTTGAACCAATTGGGATAATGTGGCAAAAGAAAAAGTTCAATGTGTAATGCTATCCCCAAACCTATTATTACTGTGACTATAGCTTCACTGAGTCTTTCAGAAATAAGGAAAGCAAACCATGAAAACACAAGAGGAGCTGCACTATTAGCTAAACTGAGGAAGTCTGGTTTCGCTGTACTACCTTCTGGTAGAGCAAAACCCCATCTGATCCCTCCCAAGAAAGCTAGGAAACTGGCTCCATAAGTCATCTGAGTAAAAGCTAACACAGGAATATAAGTCTTTGTCATCACCATGACCAGTGGTGGAGTAATAAAGGGGATTAGTCCTCCCAGAGTTATGTATAATGCTGGCTTTGGGCTGTCAAATAGGTAAGTGATGGTGCTTGATGGCTTGGCTGGAAGTACTTCTTGCTTCTGCTTCTTAAAGCTGCATGGGGAAGTATGATAGTATTGTGTCTTCCTCATATACACTGGAAATGAAGAGAAAAACCAAGGCCTTGGAAACAAAGGGGAAAAGTTCTGTTGGTGACATGTCTTGAGAGAAAATGTTTCTATTCTGCTGGCTCCTAGCCGGACTGGAAAAGGGTACTTAAACATCTATAGAGAAAACAAAACCAACAGACAAAAACAGATTTTTAGATAACTGCAGTGTCTTAGTTAATCCCAAACTGAAACAATATAAAAACAAACTATCTGCTTTGTATTAGAACATCAAACTTTACAGAAAGGTTGAATTACAGGGTGCTGTTAATGCTAGCTAAGACTAGCAAACAGTTATACAACATGCAAAAGAAACTACTGAAAAGAAACCGAGTGATGTAATTTGGCCTACCACTAATTTTATCCCATGAGAGGAATATCTGAAAGAACAGGTAAAGACTCTATCTTTAGTATCTGGCATTTTAAACTGTCTCTTCTATTTATAACTTGCAAAAGCAGCAGCATTAATTACTGTGGGAATGCTGTTTTATATAGAAAAAGTAATCCAGCTTCCAATTTAGCTTTAGAAACACTGAATACTGGGGGCACCTGGGTGGCTCAGTGGGTTAAAGCCTCTGCCTTCGGCTCAGGTCATGATCCCAGGGTCCTGGGATCGAGCCCCGCATCGGGTTCTCTGCTCAGCAGGGAGCCTGCTTCCTCCTCTCTCTGCCTGCCTCTCTGCCTACTTGTGATCTCTGTCTGTCAAATAAATAAAATCTTTAAAAAAAAAAGAAAGAAAGAAAGAAACACTGAATACTTTCCATAACGCCATGCCTCCTATAGGTCTTTTTTTTTTTTAATTTTTAATTTTTTTTATAAACATATAATGTATTATTAGCCCCAGGGGTACAGGTCTGTGAATAGCTAGGTTTACACACTTCACAGCACTCACCATAGCACAAACACTCCCCAATGTCCATAACCCCACTACCCTCTCCCTACCCCCCTCCCCCGACCCCCCTCAGTTTGTTTTGTGACATTAAGAGTCTCTTATGGTTTGTCTCCCTCTCGATCCCATGTTTCATTTATTCTTTTCCTACCCCCCAAACCCCCAACATTGCATCTCCACTTCCTCATATCAGGGAGATCATATGATAGTTGTCTTTCTCCGACTGACTTATTTCGCTAAGCATAATACTCTCTAGTTCCATCCACATCATCGCAAATGGCAAGAATTCATTTCTTTTGATGGCTGCATAGTATTCCATTGTATATATATATACCACATCTTCTTTATCCATTCATCTGTTGATGGACATCTAGGTTCTTTCCATAGTTTGGCTATTGTGGACATTGCTGCTATAAACATTGGGGTGCATATGCCCCTTCGGATTACTACGTTTGTATCTTTAGGGTAAATACCCAGTAGTGCAATTGCTGGGTCGTAAGGTAGCTCTATTTTCAACTTTTTGAGGAACCTCCATGCTGTTTTCCAGAGTGGTTGCACCAGCTTGCATTTCCACCAACAGTGTAGGAGGGTTCCCCTTTCTCCACATCCTTGCCAGCATCTGTCATTTCCTGACTTGTTAATTGCCTTCCTATATGTCTTTGCCTAGAATTCTAACATACTACATTTTTTCTTTTTCTTTTTTTGGGGGGGATGGGGAATGGGGAGGGGCAAAGGGAGAAGGGAAGAGAATCTCAAGCAGGCTCCAAGCCCATTGTGCAGCCTGATCCCACAACACCTGAGCTGAAATCATGAGTCAGACACTTAAGCAACTGGCCACCCAAGTGCCCCCTAACAACTACTTTTTTGTCTAGGGAATCTATCTTTTTTAAAATTCAGCATGAAGCTTTCCCCAATCTGAATTAATACTCCTATAAATACTTTACGCACACTCCCATCATAATTTTCACAGTGAATTTAAATCATATGTTTATCAGGGCACCTGGTGGCTCTATGGGTTAAGTGTCTGCCTTTGGCTCAGGTCATGATCCCAGGGTCCTGGGATTGAGCTGCACATTGCAGGGGGCCTGCTTCTCCCTCTCCTACTCTTCCTGCTTATATTCTCACTCTCTCTCAAACAAATAAAATCTTAACAACAACAACATGTCTTTGTCTGTCTCAATATACTTGAGAACCAGGCCAGTAATTTTTTCTTTGCCTTAAAAAAAAAATACAAAACCAGGGGCACCCCTGGGTGGCTCCATCCTTAAGTGTCTGCCTTGGGCTCAGGTCATGATCTGAATCCTGGGATTCAGCCTGCTTCTCCTCCCACTCCCCCTACTTGTGCTCCCTCTCTTGATCTCTGTCAAATAAATAAAATCTTTAAAACAAAACAAAACAAACTTCCCCAGTGCCTTTCATGGTACATGCCCAAAGGAGTAACCTTTACTGCTGATTCTGTGCTTTAGTGACCAGATTCCACACTTCAACTAGTTAACAGATGAACAATAACTCAAAAAGCACTGGATGAAAGAAGAAATAAAGTTATTTAAGAATCTTGGTGACTGGGGCGCCTGGGTGGCTCAGTGGGTTAAAGCCTCTGCCTTCAGCTCAGGTCATGATCCCAGGGTCCTGGGATCGAGCCCCGCATCGGACTCTCTGCTCTGTGGGGAGTCTGCTTTCTCCTCTCTCTCTGCCTGCCTCTCTGCCTACTTGTGATCTCTGTCAAATAAATAAATAAAATATTAAAAAAAAAAAAAAAAAAAAAAGAATCTTGGTGACTCCTTAAAATGCTAGGAAATGATTCCATCCTGGGGCCTTTTCCTTTTCTTTGAAATGTTCTTCCCTGAGCTACTTGCACGGCTGATTCCCTCTCTTCTTACCTCTCTCTCTCTTTTTTTAAAAAATAGATTTGTTTATTGCAGGGAGGGTAAGACAACATGAGTTTGGGGAGGGGCAGAGGGAGAGAATCTTTAAGCAGACTCCTCCCGAGTATGGAGTCCAATGCGGGGCTCAATTCCAGGACCTTGAGATCATGACCTGAGCCGAAATCAAGAGTCAGATGCTTAACCGACTAAGCTATCAAGCACCCCTATTTTTTTTTAAGATTTTTTTTTTTATTTTTTATTTTTTTAAGATTTTATTTATTTAGTTGACAGAGATCACAAGCAGGCAGAGAGGCAGGCAGAGTGAGAGGAGGAAGCAGGCTCCCTGCTGAGCAGAGAGCCCGATGCGGGGCTCAATCCCAGGACCCTGAGATCATGACCTGAGCCGAAGGCAGAGGCTTAACCCACTGAGCCACCCAGGAGCCCCAAGATTTTTTTTATTTTTAAGTGATCTCTACACCCAACATGGGGCTTGAACTTACTACCCTGAGATCACAAGTCAGCACCCCTGGCCCCTCTATTTTAAGATATTAGTTATTTGAGAGACAGCAAGAGAGAGAGCTTGAGCAGTGGGAGAGGGACACAGAGAGAGGAAGACACCAGACTTCCTTCTCAGCAGGGAGCCCCACATTAGGCTGGATCCCAGGATCCTGAGATCAGGGCCCCAGCTGAAGGCACCTGTTTGACTGAGCCCAGGCCCCCATGACCCCTCTATTTTTAAGTGCAATCCTAAGCCTATTGTTGATATTCCCTATTCCCCTTCCCTGCTTTTATAGTTCTCCAGAAGACTTACCACTTGTAATATAAAATATTTTACTTATTTGTATTTTACCCACCCTTTACCCCATCACCTAAACATATAAGGATAAGGATGTATCTTTTTTTTCCCATTGCTATTGCCCCAGCAAAGCAGTGCCCGCAAGTATTTGCTGAATAAGCCAACCTTTGAAGATGCTTGAGAAAACTTCTGGATAAAATGAAGCATACTGGATCCCATTGTAAAGTCTTGCTCAGGAAGATACCAGGCAGTTGTGATTAATGCATTTTTACAGCTAAGTGGAGGAGCTGAATCAGAAGCATGTTGCTGTATAGAAAACAAAATGTTACTACATTTTCTTCATTTTATGCATAATTTTGTATAAGTAGGAACCCGAGAATTTTTTCCATATAACACATTTGCCTTTGAAAACAATCATTAATGCTGTCCAGAAATCAGTAATACATTAAGTAAATAATCCTTTTCTTCTCTGATCCATTCCTTTAGCTTTTGCTATTTGGTGTAACAGAAAAGGTATTGCATAGAGACAGATCTATATTTTACAAACACCTCTATAATTCCCCAGCTGTGTGACCTTGGGTAAATTACTTCTTTGAAGTGTAGTTTTCTCATCTTTAAAACCGAAGGTTATAGCTTCTCTGTTCTCTTTTTTCACCCTAGGTGTTTACAGCTCAAAATAATGATGGTAGCAATTAATACAATTTAGCTGTGAACCAAGAACTGTAACTATGTGTTTTATATGCATTAACTCGTTTATTTTTTTTTTTTTTAAGGAAGTATTTTTAAGGATGCCTGGGTGGCTCAGCGGGTTAAGCTGCTGCCTTCAGCTCAGGTCATGATCTCAGGGTCCTGAGATCAAGTCCTACATTGGGCTCTCTGCTCAGCAGGGAGCCTGCCCCCCCCTCACTGCTCTCTGCCTGCCTCTCTGCGTACTTGTGATCTCCCTCTGTCAAATAAAATCTTCTTTAAAAAAAGTATTTTTAAGTTATCTCTACACCCACATGCTCCCACTGAGCCAGCCAGGCACCCCTGCCTTAACTCATTTAAAACAATAACCTCGTCACCTTGATTCTGAGAGACAGTATAGCCTGTTAGGTTAGAGTGAAGATTCTGGAATCAACAATTTGTGTTGGGATCCTGGCTTCACCACTTATATGGCATGTGATTTTGCAAACATATTTAACTTTGTCATGTTGCAGTTCACTCACTTTCGAAATAAGAATTGATCTATGTAGAGCTGCAAACAGTCCCTGACACAAAGTAAGCATTCAAAAAATAAAAGTCGGGACGCCTGGGTGGCTCAGTTGGTTAAGCGGCTGCCTTCGGCTCAGGTCATGATCCCAGCGTCCTGGGATCGGGTCCCACATCAGGCTCCTTGCTCGGCACGGAGCCTGCTTCTCCCTCTGCCTCTGCCTGCCTCTCTGTCTGCCTGTGCTTGCTCGCTCTCTCTCCCTCTGTCTCTGACAAATAAATAAATAAAATCTTTAAAAAAAAATAAATAAAAGTTATATTCCCACCCTACACAAGAGGAAATGGTTAAGAACTCTAAATGAGCAGCCAGTAAGTGGTTGAGAATATGAATCTAGATCTGTCTTACATGAGTTTCATTGTTAACCAAGAGAATGAACTGTCTAAAAGACCCAAAAACCACAGTTGCTACCTAGTTAAATATTTTAATGAACTATTTCTAGGTCACAGCTCTTAGGGATGGGTAGAGAAATCCTGTATACCAGTCAATGTTTTCACTCTTTAACAAAGACATAGGGAGGTAAGTTATCCCGGGCCTCTGAGTACATCTTAGATGGCACCTTACATCCACTTCCTGACTTCCAAACATACTTATCTGCAGGACCCACACACTCACTGTTGGTCAAAAGCGTAAGGGCTTTCCAGACCACCCCACTTAAAAATCTCAACGCTCTCTTTACAGTTGGAACTCTCTCTGCACTGTGACCATGCGCTTTCCAACTCATGGGTGTTATATGGAGACCGATGGCCTATATCCCGGGGACAGCAACTGGTGAGGAAGGCAAAGACCTAAGGGTCAATCCACTCAATTTAGGTGAAAACGCCCGATACTGCCACCGTCCCAGAGGAAAGAGTTGCAAACTGCAAGCCTCAGAGCGGACTCTTGAGAAAAGGGCGCGCTGTGAGAACCCAAGGATCCTCGGGAAACTGCCTGACATTCCCAGCGGCTTTGATTTACTCTCAACCCTCGGTGCCTCCCCCAACGCCCCTCCCCCCAACTTGCACAGTGTGGCAGCAGCCCTGCTGTTAAATATGTAAGTATACTTGCCAGTGTCGAACCAGGAATTGAAACGCAGAGCAGCAAGAACACCCAGGTACTCACGAAAAGGCACTTCCGGTAGATGGGGTTTGGCAGTCCCCTCCACTTCCGGGGAACAGAAAAAAAGAGTCCGGGGGGGGACTTGACCAGTGCTGACTGGTTCCCATGCCGGTTGTTCATCTTGGGTCATTCTTTTAAAGAAATCTTAATTCTGGAAGCCAGCTTTTGAAGTCCGTAGGGTACTTGAATGGTCCTTACCTCCCCTCTCCAGGTTTCTCAGGCATCAGGATCTGACCCTCAGAGTTCGGACAGGTAGAGCACAACTACTAAAACAATCCCAAAGTGATGGTGTTGTAGGAAGGTAGGAAAGATTTGGAGTCTAGGCCAAGTACAACTTGGCCAAATTGTTCGCCATTTCTGGAACTCATAACATGTTTTCTAGGATGGATGGGGCACATCTGTGTTTGGGTCCTGAACTACTAACACTAAGCAAAACAAAACTTTTTACTTCCATTCTCTTTGCTTGGAACTGGAGACTCCATTAAGAAATAAAAAACACGGGGCGCTTGGGTGGCTCAGTGGATTAAAGCCTCTGCCTTCAGCTCAGGTCATGATCCCAGGATCCTGGGATCAGCCCCACATCTGGCTCTCTGCTCAGCAGGGAGCCTGTTTCCTCCTCTCTCTCTGCTTGCTTGTGATCTCTGTCTGTTGAATAAATAAATACAATCTTAAAAAAATAAAAAGCACAAAGGGCAGGATTCTCGTTTCCGTAAGTGTGGTTATAACAGTTTTGGGTTTAAGGTTGATCTGAAAAGTTAGATCGTTCCTTCTGTCGCCCTCTGCTTTAACTTTTATTTGTTGGCTCTGTGACCTTGGACAACTCTCTTTTCTTCCCTGGGCCTCCATTTCATACTCTGTCAAAGGACACAGCACCAGACAATTTGAGCGGCCTTCTGAAAACAGAGCTGCAACGGCCCACGCTGGTCAGTTGCTCAATTCCTCCGGATCCTGGGTAATGGAGCTTCGTGGTTGTCGGCCATCATACGGCTTAACGTCCCATGCAGAAGGCGCCCATTGCTATTTCTTCGTAATAGTAACCGCTTCTAATCGCGATAGGCTTTCACTTTTGTTTCCTTCTCTATCATGGCAGCACCGCCCCTTCTAGTAGTGCGATATCCAATGAGACTCTGGGTCAGAGAAACAACTTCTCCGCCCCAGCCTGGGAGCCGGCTCCAGACAGAAATCCGCCCTGCGCTGGGCCAGGGGCATGACGCCAGCCGTCGGGCGGAACTACCACTCCCAGCGGGTAGCGCGACGGACCCAGCGGCGCAGGGAGCACGGCGGTGTGGTCCGCTGGGGGCTGGAGTCCTAAAGAGGCGCGCACGTGAAGGAAGGAGCGGAAGGTGGGAAGGGTCGGAAATCACGATCCTGCGAAACCGGTTTGCTAGTACTTGCATGGGTAGTCTGGGGACGCGAGCATGCCCAGAAGTGGGGTACGGGAGGGTGAAGGGGCGGGGAAAACGGTACACACACACCCACCCACTCATTCACAGGCATCCAGGCCCTGTGTTGGGCCGGGGAATAAGAAGAGGGGTTCCAGACTCGGCTGGTCGCCCTCTCTGAGGCGCCGCGAGGAAAGGCAGAGCATTCAAGTCTGCAGAGGGGTGGGGGTAACCATGCACAGTCTGGAGCCGCGGTAAGGGGGGTTGGGGAACCGCGCAGGGAATAACTGCCGTTCAAGCGGCGGAACGTTGGAGGCGTCGGGCGCCCGTAGGGTCACCGGAACAGGGCTCCTGCGCCTGCGCTCCTGTGGGCGGTGCGAGCGGGTGGGCGTGTGTGAGGCGGGGTCGGAGTGGGGGAGGGCCGGCCTGGTCGTCGCTCCTCCCCTCCTGCCCCTCCAGGGCCGTGTGGGCCGGGCAGCCATTTTGGGAAGAGCTTTGTTATGGTTGTGGGCTCTCCACCTCTGCGGGATCAGGAAGCTGGGGAGGCGCCCTTAGACGCTGCCTCTGGCCCCTAGCTGTAGCCCCACTGCTGCCGGGTAAGTGGGGGTTCCGGACAACGGGGCGGCAGAGGATCTTGAGTCGTTCCGGCGCGGGGCTCCGCCCGGTGCCCAAACGACCGGCTGTTGGAACTAGTTGAAGGAGGCTCTCACACAGGTGGTTGGTGTAGGTCGGGGTGGGGGAGAGAAGCCGAGGGGCCAGCGGTCCTGTGGTTCGGATGGGGCACCTCCCCCCGCACGAGGAGCTTTGCAGTCGAGTGTCGCCGCGGCTTTGCCTGAGCGCTCCTATTTCAACTTTGGTCTTCGGGTCGGAACGCTCACCTGCGGCTCCCTGGCTCCTCTCCAGGCTTTCCGGCTTGTCGATGGTTGAGTGGCTTGGTTTACGGGTTTATTTTTCTTTCTTTAGAGCCAAGGGCTTTTGTTTTCCAACGAAGGAAAATGGAAGGAGGAAAAAATCGTGTAAGTCAGCCGTAGGGCATCTGAGGGGAAAAGAAGAGCTTTAACCACCAGCGTTTCGGTTCTTGATACCGAGGTGTTTTCTTTGATTTAGATTAAGTCGGTATTCAGCACCTACGGATTGCCTCCCTCCCCCGAAAAAAAGCTAGTCGATCTTGGAGAGTTTTAAGGAGGATTTTTTTCTGTTTTAAATCTACCTCTCTCCACCCCCGTGAAATTCAGAAGAAAGGCTGAATCTAAAATGGCTGTGGCTTGGGGAAGTGCCCTAAGCTTCGGTAACTTAAATACGTTACCATGTCTTAAATTTTTGGTGGTTTCTCCCAGGAGGAGAACAGCTGAATCCCTTGGATATTTTGGTCTTCTTGGAATTGCTGTCTTGTCTTGAAGAGTCCTTTTAGGTAAAAACAAAGGTGAGGCTAAAGAAGTTTGCTTACTCCGAAAGTTTACGTAAGAGTGGGTGCGGTTTTGTTTGGCTTTTTTTTTTTTTTTTTCTTTTCTTCTTCTTCTTTTTTTTTTTTTTTTGTGGTTGCTTATAGTTTTGAAATTGTGCTATGATGGTAATTTTATCAGCTAACTTTGTGCTCTGAGGTTGGTTTGCATTATTTGTCGAAATACGCTCTTAACGTTGATACTTACTGCTTACCAGGAAAAAAAAGTTAATGGTGGTTCTTGTTTGAGTTTAGTAACAGAAGGCACACGTTTCTTTGTAAATTCCTTCCAAAAGTAGAGTGACTGATAGTCTTCAGGAGACTTAGATTTGTATTTTCGTGGACTTCTGGCCTGTAATATTTGAAAGGGAGTCAAGAGTGCTCTTAAGTTGAGGACAGTTATTGCAGTGGTGAGACAAGTGAAAACGAACTTTAGATAAGTAGCTCCTGATTGTTGTGCCCTTTCAAACAAAAGGCTGTCTTTTTGTTAGCCTTTTATTATTATTTTTTTAAGCCATTAGATCCAGAAGTTTAACTGAGAACACAAAGGCATACAGTGGAAACCAAGAACAGATAACTTCAGTGTTTGGAAAGGTGCTTCAGTTTCAGGTTGCAATCTGTCTGAAAGATAAAAATAATAAAATGCTAGTTATGAATGAGAACTTGAGAATTAATAGTAAAATAAGCTGTCATCTTCCCTAGGGAGTCAGTTTCACTTTACCTTCCTCCATTCTTTCAACACAAAAGTTTACCTTTGTTAGTTCCCCTGGGATTTTTTTTTTGTTCTTAAATTATTTTGGTGATTTTATAAGAAAAATATTTGAAGTGCTCTATAGGAATTACAGGTCCTTTGCTTTATGTTTTGCCATTTGCCTGCTGAACCCGTAAACTTGGGTACTCAAAATGGTTTGTACATGTTGATATAAATATTTTTTCATTTGATTCTGGATGGTATCTTACCAGTTCTTGAAATGGGGAGTCTATGTTAGTAAGTTTTTTTTATTTTGAATAAATGCAGCTCACCAATTTTCTCATCAGTAGCTGCTTAAAACCTTGGCTGAAGCGGGCACATGCAACCATTTTAATAACTTTGGAATGATAAGGAATCTGGAACACATTTCTGCTTATAATACATTTTTAAATTCTTAAAGATATAATACACAATTATGAATCATACTTCAGCAGATTGCGTATCTTTGTTATATGGTTAAATTGTATGTACTTAGTAACAGTGATAAGTAATGTGCAGGGACCTAAGCAGTCTGTTTATAAGTCATTAACCATTATGGGTGCTTGCTTTAACTATGAAAATAAGACTGTTGGAAAGGTGAGAGGCACAACAATTTTAAAGGATCCCAATTTAAAAACTACTTCATGGAAAAACCATGTTTATGGTTTTTCAAATAGATGGGAGGAAAAATCTAGGTGGCACATTGATATCATGTTACCTCACATATGACTATAGTTGCCATTGTCTGGAATTTAATATTTGGTATGCTGAGACTTTGTTGTACTAGTCATTTCTAAATCAGACTCTGATTTTTATTTCCCATTGAAGTCTGCCGAAAAACAAAACCAGCTACAATCAAACTTGAAAAGTAGTTCTGTAAGAATAGCTGAACTTCTTTCGCCCACAGGTAGTCAGTCTTAACTAAAGTAAAATATTGCTAATGTTATGTAATATGAATTTTGATAGGTGATTTCAAATATACTGGGCAAATATTTCAAGAAGTCAAATAGTTCTTTTCCTTTATGAAAGCAATCAGCTTTTTTTCCTTTACATTTCAAGAAATGCTACAGGCTCTATCTACTGTGGTGCCGGTTTTGGTGTAATAAAGGCTAGACATACCTAAATAATCATAAAACATTTGGTCAACAAAGAACTTAGTAGTTTAACAGATAAGTGGAATATGTTACAGGATGACAACATAGAAAACTTTCTCAAAGAAGTTGGCTTTTGGGGCGCCTGGGTGGCTCAGTGGGTTAAAGCCTCTGCCTTTGGCTCAGGTCATGATCCCAGGGTTCTGGGATCAAGCCCCACATTGGGCTCTCTGCTCAGCAGGGAGCCTGCTTCCCCCTCTCTCTCTGCCTGCCTCTCTGCCTACGTATGATCTCTATCTGTCAAATAAATCTTTAAAAAAAAAAAAAAGAAGTTGGCTTTTAACATACTTGTTATGTTTACCTTCCTTTTCTATGATAAAACTGTGTTGCCTTATGTTAACCAGATGTCAGGCTAACGAATTACCAGAATGAGCAAAGTTTTAGTACACTTTTCTGAGCAGTAGGTCTGTTCATGTGGAAATATATTTTGTTTTCAGAAAAATAAATTCATTTAAGTTTAGCTATACTTCGGATTTCAGACTCTTGTTTCTTCTGGTTGTAAGTTTAAATTTCATTATATAAAAAATTCTCTTCTGAATTATTGCTGCCTTTGAAGTATATTGAAAAGTTGTTTGGGGGGGCTCTTTGGCTATTTAATTAAAAGGTAGAGCCATTCCAGTGTTCCTGCTGTATGTTTATGAATTATTAGCTCTACTTTTTAATTAGTCTTATGAGGTCTGATGGGAAGGGTAGTTTATTGCGGGCTTCATAAGCTAGAGGCTGTAATAGAGTCCAACATATATAATCTCATTCTTCAAAATACTTTTTAGAAATAGATAATATTAATCCTTCT